GTTAATAAATTGTTATTTGGAATTTAATTACGCACTACATCAACTTGCTCGACTGGTATGTTAAAAAAAAATTCGTTGACCTGACCGTTTTTTGGACGGTTTATTTCAAAATAAAACGGTTACTATGTGAATAGTTAAATTTACTATACGACCATACCTGTAAATAATTTTATATATAACCCTAGCCGATGCCGATTAAAATTTAATAACAACGGTTCAATAGTTTATAAGCGATTTTCATTTATAAGCTTCGCAATGTGTAACTAACTATCTAATATACAGCCTTGTGCGATCCGATCGGTTTTGTTTAAGTTCAACCGCAATGTCCTAGCGGTGTTCCCATTAAAGCGCATTAACAGCTGTAGTTTCGATTAATGTTTTATGTTAATTGAAGCTCCGAAGGAAGGAAGCAGAGAGTGTGTGTGTGTTTTACGCTGTTCTGTGCTTTGTAGCACTTAAGCACTTCAACTATAATCATAGCCTACCCATTCGCTTAGGTTTTCAAAGGCCATATAAGGTTTGTGGCAGAATAACGTATGACTTGTCAGCGTTGACTATAGCATTATACACATAGTCCTCGGAGGGTTAGCAGCACCTCGAGGACTCGTTCGCTATGTCCTACAGTTATAACAATCCGTTTCCACAGAGGTTGGTTTTTCTCGACCGAACCACTGGCCGGGGTCGTCCCGGGAGACAAGGCGTGTCCTCAACATTATCGTTACGACGTCATAATAATAATATATTATTACTGTTTTATGTGCATTGTATCTTGGTCGAATTGGCCATCTCGATTGTAAAAAACAGTTCCGAAACAGCGCAACTCGCGTGCTCCATTTGTAATCTCTGCATCGCTCTTTTCTGTGTTCCAAAGCGTTTTCATTGTGGCATCTACACAACAGCACAAGAACGTCGGTTGAACGGCCGTTCATTTTACTTGTACGACCGAGGAATTCTCCCAAGATCTCACTTTCAGCGGTGGAAAATTATCAAATTCCGGGCCAGGACACGCACGTTACCGCGAGCAAGCACGAAACCAGAAACAAATGGTTTTACACGGGTATACGTCCTGAGGGTATTATCCGGGGCGAACAGGGCAAAAGGCTGTGACTTTGAAAGATGTTAGGTGATTCGATTACATTTCTCAAAACCGTGTACCGCCGTCGCCACCACCGCGTGACAATCGAACGGTCGAGGTCAGTTTTTCGACAGCGCGACCACGAATAAAAAATTCGATTCTCCGTTGATCCACCGCCGAGGGATGTCTCGCAAATCGCCAAAGTGTACCAAGCAACAATGACTTTTTTTTTTCATTTCGTTCGTATTATGTTTTCAAATGAATGGTGTTATGCAGAAAACAACCAACCCACAAAAAAAAATAATCGAGATTTTAGTTTAACTAGTTTAGTATACACTATACCACACTAGTTAAACTAAAATCTCGTTTTTTTTTTGTGGGTTGGTTGCTTTTTGCATAACACCACTCAAATTATCATGAGGGTTAATAAAGTAAAACTATTAACGTTGAAGTATTGTCAATGTTATTTTTTTAGCTTCGATGCGGAGGTGAGAAGGTATTGTTTTTACAATGATTGTATCTGGATCCCAGATATCTCGTAAACCGCTGAACCGATTTCTTCGTATAACAACTCTATAGATCAGATATCATACCTAAAAGGTACTTTAGTGGGCCAAAAATTAAAAAAAGTCACCCCTTCCCCATCAAAATTGAAAAAAACACCCAAAAAATTTACAAATGTTTCAACTTAAAATTACGATGCTCTATAACTTTTTTAAAAATAGTCGAAAATGTTCCAAGTTTATATGAATTGTTCTTCAAACATAGTACTATCGATAAACATTAACAAACCAAAAAAATATCATAAACCCTTAGAAGGGACAGTATTTTTTTTTTTTATTTCACTTTTTCAAGTTTTAGAGATTTAGATCTGAAAATTAGACCAAAGGTAGATCTAAAATGGAACTATAACAAATACAATTTTTTTTTATTAAGGAAAAACCCCAAAAATAGGGTAAATTTACATTTAGGCCGTAGTCAGTTTCTAGGTTGCTATGTGCGAGTGAATCAACAGTCAACAGGTAATGAAAATATTTTTATTATATTGTTAATTACGATACATGGGTAACTATGACAGTACATTTTTATAGACAGACGATCAACCCTTATCGTATCCACCCTGCACAAGACTAAATATTAAATTTTAAGTACACTTTTGCTGGTCCACGATATCTTCTAAACTGCTATAACTGATTTGAACATACTATCCACAGATTCGCATGGAAGCGTTTATTTAAAAGAGATTTTATCACTTTCAGTTATAATAAAATCTGTAGACCCGTGATCTCTCCGTCCCCACTATGCCCCGACCCCACCGTACTGGCTTTTTTTAATTTCGTTTTTAGTGGTTATTTCAAGTAAATAACTACTAAAAATGTGAACACAAACACTATTACGATAAACAAATAAGTCTGCTTGTTTTCCGTGCAAAATGTATGACATAAGATCAAAAATTATGCACGAGTTACTGAGATCCAAGAATGTGTTTTTTTGGATCTCCGAATCCTGACTTGTTGTCACGCGGGTTCAAGATAAACTAGACGGGTTGTATTACCTTTGATTTTTTTTTTTGCCCACGAATCTCTTCTATATGATATTGTAATAATCGATCTTCGAAGATAATACTACTAACTAAACGAGCTATAGAATATTGAGTTCTACATTCAAAATTAAAATATAAAATTAATATAAATATTACATACCTTTAATAAGATAAAAGACTTCCCAAAGTATTAGAACTACTTATAAACAGCCTGGTAATGTGATTATAATAACTAAAAAAATAGTACTCTTATGATATTTGTAAAGAATTATCATTGAGTATACATACTTAATAGTATAATTATCAAGTGTATTTTTTGAGTATATATATATATATATATATATATATATATATGCAATGGTATTTTCAAGTGTAACGCTCAGACGATTTCTAGGTATCTATATTTATATTATTGCCCTCAAAATATGTAAAAGTAAATATTATCGGCTATAAATTAATCAGATATAATAATTATCAGATACTTAATAGTCTATGTTATTAATTATGACCAGAAATACAAATAATTTTACAAAACAATAACATTCTTTTTGTGATTATTTGTTCGTATACATTTACACCAATATTTACTATACTAATTACAAATGATTGAAACAGATATTTTTTTTCCAAATGAGTTCAACTATAACTGTTTAAAAAAGACCTTTATTTACAAGAGGTTAATTAAAAAAGTTTTTTTCCAAAACTGTTATATAAAAGTTCTAGCTTAAAACAGTTTTTACTTTTTAATATCTATATAAATGCCACATAAAAGTTTTTGTTAAACTTTTATTTTTTCCCTCTAAAATAAAAGTTTTAAGTACAAACAAATTAAATTATCAAGTCGTTAAGTACTTGGTTGCTTTTTCATAAAATTGATTGTGTTCAAAAAAATTACCTGTCACTTGTGCTATGAAATTGTATTGATTATACTTATATTATATTGATATATTATCATCATTTGTTTATTGAAATTTCAATTTTCAAACTATTTTAAAAAAAATGTGTATTTTAAATACATAGTATAGTAAAACTATTATTAAGTTTTCTATTATTGATATTGATGATTACATTTCCTATTAATAAAAATGTAAAAGTATAATACTTTTTTTTTCGTAAAAACCCTATTCATGCAAACGGTTTATAATAACGGTTAAATAAAACAAAATTGCAAATCCAATTAGAAAATAAAAGTTATAAAAAAAAAACAGTGTTGAAATAACCTCTATCAATAAAAGTATAAGTTAAAAAAAAATATTTATACATTATCATGTATGTATATAAGTTAAATTTTTACTTTTATTAATAGCAGTAGACCGTTTTATTTGAATCCTGCTAATTACTATACTGTAGCGCTAATAAAAAATATTGTTTAATTTCCACAGCATTTATTATATAAAGTTACACATATCGCTGAACTAATATCACAACGTAAATAAGTGCCCCTGGAAATAAATAAAAGAGAGATGTTTATAATTTTTGGAACCAGACACTTTTCGTTAGTTCCACTTAAATATGAGTTATGAAATGTCAATTTTTGCAAAAATAATATTTTTCTTTCTTATACTATCATTAGGTTGCCCTACGTAACACGTTTGGCATGCACTGAACAATTAAAACTCAACGTAAGTAGAGATTTTTTTTTCCGCTTATAAATTTCCTTTATTTTGGATGATTTTTTTAAATAAATCACAAACAATTTGTTCTTTTAAACTAATTTTATAATGAACTTGACCAAAAAAAAAAATACAATAATTTGTGTCTTGTTCACGCATACTTTTGTAACCGCAGTCGGTGTGCCTGTGATTTAGAATGAGCATTTTTCAAAGACTTAAGCAGCGTCACTTACTCACTACGGCGTATCGTTTTTTTTCTCTTAGTGTTCTATCATCATATTATGATATCGTTAAGCTGATGATAAACGCGTCGGCTAATATAAAACGAATGTGATTGAAAATCATATAATTACTATTTTTGACAATCGTACACCAGTTTTGGTACAAAACCGGTCCGGCATTGATATTTGATAGTATTTTACTGCGAGTATAACTATTATTATTTTAATTTATGTAACACGATCCGTTTGCACGAGACCGTACATCATAACCGTCATGTATAGGCTACGTCACACATATAGGAACTGGACTTGTCGTTCCCCTTGACCCCTCCAGACGCGTTAATTACAGATACATATGTAGCAACAAAACATTAACGGAGGGGAAACGGTCAAATCGTTCGGATGTAACATAATATTTTGTTTACCTACTTTGTGCCGATACTAGATTTTCTACACTTAATTTTAATTAATAATGTATATTGCGCTCTTTGGTGGTCACACCGAGGATTCCATCAAGCTAACCCAACCCAACCGTTTGTGTGTTGCAGTCATGAACGTGACGGCGGATACCGAAGACCAGTACGTGCCGTATTCGGAAAGGCCCGAGACCTACATAGTGCCGGTGATTTTCGCCATGATATTCGTGGTGGGAGTCCTTGGCAACGGCACCCTGGTGTTGATATTCGTCAGGCACAGGAGCATGAGGAACGTACCCAACACTTACATGCTGAGCCTGGCGCTCGGCGACCTGCTGGTGATCCTGACGTGCGTGCCGTTCACATCCACCGTTTACACCGTCGAATCGTGGCCGTACGGCGAGCTCATCTGCAAAATAAGCGAAGCCACGAAAGACGTTTCCATCGGCGTATCGGTGTTCACTTTGACGGCGTTGAGCGCCGAGCGGTGAGTACTTGCAATAGGAGAACAGGCAGTTTCCGTGTGGATCCTCGTCTACTACTATGTTTATCTCGGTGGCCCCCATTCATTTTGTTTTTATAAAAAAAAATTTCAAGCGAGTTCAAAGAAGATTTATGTAAATTTTAACATTGACCAAATCGATTTAACATCTATATCTTCAATTCAGACCACTCTCAATGTGGATTCTCTTATAAATAGACGTAGGTATTTTGATATAATATGTTTTTTGTCCAAACTAGTCAATGGTCTGATATGTGGTCTCGTGTTCCTCAATATAATTCACGCTATTGTCCCACCTTTGAAATTCCTTTCCATCGTACATCCTATGGTTCCAATAATCCCCTTGACCGCGTAGCCAGAGAGTGTAACGTGATGAAAAATTTGGATTTATTTAATATTACAGATTTGTATTCTACAAAAAATTGTTTTTCAGTCAGTTAGTGTTATCTAGGTCTTGTTATACTTGATTTACACTTAAATTCCAATTCACATTATGTTGAATGACAAGTATTGTTTGTTTTTATCATTTCTGTAAGTAAGTTATAATTTATATACCAACGCCTATCCTGCCTTCTATATATGCTACAAGTTTATTCTTATTCTTTCAGCAACACAAGTAAGCTGTGAGCGTGATTCCTCGAAATTAAAATATTTAAAATCATATTTAATAAGTACCTTGTTACAAGACTTATTAGACAGTTTTACGCTTATGATTATTGAGAAAGGATTGTTCAACCGCGTAGATTCAGATGAAACAACTAATACAAAAAAACTCTTATTGTTTTAAGAATATTTTCAACAAAATGATTTGTATTATTGTTATTGTTACAGTTTCTCACAATAATTGTATTATGTTAATATATTTCGCTGTATTAAACAAGTAATGCAAATAGCATGCGAGCCAAACGATCAAATTTATTTTTCTATTTTGATGGCTCTTTTAAATAAATATTAAGATAAATAAATTTAAATAAAGATACTTGGTTGTATAGTATAGCTTCAATGTGGACCTCAGAATGTATTTACTTTACAATAATGTGTTTATTTTTATTATTTTTTACCTACGATAACTTACTTACCATTAGACCGACACTTTTAAGTCACAAAAAATCATACCCAAATGATTGTTTTTAAGGACATAAGTTTAAAATATGTACCCGTTTAATATAAAGTAAAACGCCCTAAATATTAACATATTTTTCATCTAAAAAATACGGCACGCCATACATTTTTTAAAAATAATCGGGTAAGTTTCATGTTAACAAGTATTCCTTAAATCTAGCATTACAGATATACAGTCAACAACCAAAAGATTATCATTAATAAAGCGTTTATGAAAGCCCCCAGAAAGGATTGAAACTTTTACTTTATTTAACTTTTTCAGAAGTGGTTTTAAGACAGGAATCTGAAAATTGTATTAATTTTTTTATGTTGATATTAATTATTAATAAACTACGTTCACTTTTTCCTTAATCTAATTAAAATGTAGGCTGCAAGCTATATATCTGAGCTCGACAAATTTTACTTCATTAATGGTCATCGAAAACCGTATTTAAAATATAAAGAGATATTAGCCTTAGAGAGACTATATTAGAGAGTGCTTAGTCGAATTAACACACAACTATTTTTTTTAATAGATATTATACTTCTTTGTTAATTATTATATAAATAGTTGATTTTAATACTAAATAAATTTAAATACATAAAACAAATTGATTTAAGTACATTTTTTTAATAATTTATCTAGATTAAAAAAATGAGTTTCAACGCGAATCGTTACATGAATTCACAGTTTACATTTAAAAATCGTATTAGCAACATAATTTTTTATGTTAGTTGACGTTCTTGAACGTATTTTTTTAATATAACCTATAATTTTAAGTTGTAATTCGTTTTGTGACGTAGGTAGACTGAAACGCAATTAAGTATAATCTATGTTTTCAACACAATATTATCTTTTTATTATTATTTTTTTTTTAAAGTAATTGCTTATGGTATCTTTTTATATATAATTATTATAAAGGCTTCAACATTAAATATTATTAGCCTTTTTTTTGCTTTTAACTATTTACAAATTGTTATTAGCATGAAACATGCTTTATCCTTGGTACCCCAGCCCTAAAACGCCACTAAATTGCGATACTAATGTAGCGCGCCTACTTTAAATGTGTAATAATTAGTAACATATAAGATGCCATCGAAATAATAACGAGCCGTCATCGTCATGCAAACGTTTGCACACAAAAACACTTTATGTTTTCAAAAAGACAAAAAATTATTAATTTTTCAAAAAAAAATGTTTTTAAACTTATTTAACATGTTTGTGAGTGTATGCCATTTATTTTATGGCAATTTTCGAGAAAAAAAAATTATTTAACTTGATATTATGTAATATTGTGTTTGTGGGTATAAGCCATTTACTTCAACAGACATACTGTTTAATAACATTTACAGAATAACATTATTCCTTATGCACACTTTACTTAGACACCATAACGTTTCTAGATATAGCTATACGTAGTTTTAGATCATTCTCAAAACTAAAAAAAAATAAAAATTATTTACGAAGTAAGATGGCAAAAGAACGTCAATTATTTCCATTGAAAATAAGAGAGCACAACAATCAAAATCAGAGGAAGTCATTGATAGGTTTGCTCAAATGAAGGCTAGAAAAGTTATTTTTTAAGTATACAATAGTCAATAATCACTCAATATACAATGTTATTAGTTTTAAATTTTAATAATATGATACTAAAACTTTATATATTAATATATTATAAGTTATAACATTTACACTATTTACATGACTTGAGGTTACTCCCACTTGGATGTCTTGACTAGTTCGCCAAAGTTCCGGAACACTTGCACGTTCCATCTTGTGGTTCGATGTTGCTCGTACCGCGCTCTCCTGCAGATAGACCGATTCGCTTCCGTGGGCGTAGGTTAAATACTACACCCCCCATCGCATTCTCCGCTTCCTCTTGCCACTGCCAGCTGTTTTCTACGGCCACGCCCCTTCGCCTTGGCCGGCTACCGCATGACTGATTACCGTTATCAATTATTTCTTGCTGCCAGCTGTTTTCTACGGCCATCCTTCTCCTATAGGCCCTAGTGTCACCAAGTTCGTCACTACATCACTGTACAACACCAATTACTTTTTACCTTACACTTGTACACACAATATTTGACCAAAAGTTAACCATAAAAAACATTTCAAATATATGGATGCATTATTTTTTTTTCCTTATCACATACAAACAAGACTATGCGGCCTGTTTGTTTTCTCTTCTTGTCACTATAGCTCACGCTAATGGGTTTGTTTTTTGTTTACAGTTATTGCGCCATAGTCAATCCAATTAGACGTCACGTGTCGTCGAAGCCGTTCACACTGATCACTGCCGTGGCAATCTGGATTCTGGCCATCGTGTTGGCCATCCCGTCTGCTACGTTCTCGTACGTGGCCACCGAAAATTTACCGACCGAAAACGTCACGTTGGAATACTGTTACCCGTTTCCGTCCACGTTAGGCAACGGCTACGTCAAGAGCATGGTGGTGTTCAAGTTGCTCACGTACTACGTGATCCCGCTGTTCGTCATCGGCGGTTTCTACTTCCTAATGGCCCACCACTTGATGGTGTCGGCCAGGAACATGCCGGGTGAGCTGCAACACACCGGCCAGTCCGGTCAGATCCAGGCCAGGAAAAAGGTGGCGAAAATGGTGTTGTCTTTCGTCATAATATTCATGGTCAGCTTTCTGCCGTACCATGTGTTCACCGTGTGGTTTCACTTCTATCCGTACTCAAAGGAAGTGTACGACGATTATTGGCACGCGTTTCGCATAGTCGGCTTTTGCCTGAGCTTTCTCAACTCGTGCGTCAATCCCGTAGCCCTGTACTTCATCAGCGGCGTATTCCGTAAACACTTCAACCGGTACTTGTTCTGTTGGTTCCCTTTTGCCCGGCCCATCGGGCACATCGGCGGCGGCGCCATCCTAGGCACCGCCGCCGAGTCAACCGCTCAAGACATCAACCTCACCCGCGTGAACAGCACGTCATGCCGCCGCCACAACTCGGTCATCACCAGTCACGTGACTCTCAACAGTTGCCATACATGACGAAAGCGCCGAGCCTCGAAAATCGCCGCTGGTAGAATCAGACAGTCTCGGCCGGCGTCCAAGACCAGAAATTGTAACGTCATTTGATTCGATAGTCACCCAGTAACGGCTTGCCCGAAGTGGATCGTTCGTTTTTCGGTTTGTTCGGAACAAACAATCACGATTATACTCGCAAAGGTCGTTTGGATTCTGACGGCCATTTTTGATTTCATTTCGATGCGACGATATCGGGACAGTGGTGTTAATCTATTACCGATTACTAGTTATTGACATAAACCGTCTTGATATGTCTTGATACTTCTTTGACTTCGAATAAGACCACCAGATCAGTGGAACTTCGCAACCAAAGCATTGGATAGTAATTGTGTTGCCACAATTCCACGGTCCTTATGCCATACAAAAGGAATCGGCAAGCCAAATTCTGTCTTTCAACAAATCTCTATCCGCCATTGACTGCGTGCATTTATTTACGAAATCCATCCTTTTCGAACATTTTTTCGGGTTAATGCTACTTCTAAATTTCTTTAAACTAATATTTCTTACTTAATCGTTTCACTGTTTTATTCTTTCATTACGCCCAAATCATCTTTATCAATTTTCTCTCAGTTTACTCCTTTTTCCCTCGTTTATACTTTATCATTTATTCCTGATTTTGTCTCACATGGTCAATTTCTCTCAACGCCGAACGGTTAATACAAACAAAATTATATGATAGAACCCTTTTTTAATTGTACAGATCTCTACTGTCCTTCCTTAAGGGACCAAGGTTAACTGGATAGGGTATGTACTATTGGTAATCATAGAATCTGGAAATTTCCAATTATACCTGCCTTTCTTACTCCGACGCATGAAAACATCCTTACTCACTGCCATCTTCACCTCTGTATCAAATTATAATATCATTTATTATTATAATTTGTACAGTGTTAAAAAATTAATAAAAATATTTTATTTTTCACTTTAATTTCTTACTACTGGATTATCATTCCGGGTTTTGCAATACATACTATTGTTTATTCCTAGTTATAATTTTGAATAGCAAAGTTAAACCTATTTCATGTATTTCAATGTCTACATACAATAATAATCTTGATATTATATAATATTTGTTTTTAAAAATATTTTAATAGTTTAGTTGGTGAAAAAAGCTTTTAATTCTGTATTTACCGTCCATGCAAATTTGTATGAATGCATCAATTATATAGTAAGATTGTGTAATAAGATTATGATCTGAAATTGGTTGGACTCAAGTTGTCTGTTTGCCTTTTAAACAAAAGATGCAAATTTCAATTGTTTTTTTTACGGAAATAACCAAAAACTTATACTCTGACTTAGCCCATTAACATCACAAGAATAATAGTTTTAATAAAAATTGATTTATTTCTATAAATATATTACATTTCTACGTAATAATATATAATATGTAATACAACGTTATGTACGTTTTATCAAATCTATATTATCTGACCCTATGCATTATAGTTTAACCTTTAACCTAACAATATAAATCCTCATTCTTATTCTCTCCAATCTGTATAAGGCTAAGTAGAAAAATGGTTTCATCTCCCTATGTTTCTCGTTGTATGGGTTAACTTAATTTGTTATGTTACGATTATTAAGTATTTATGCTTGTATGCCATTGTTTGATTAAACTCTGAGGCACTGGTCCTTCAAAAATAAAAAATAAATGCAATCACTAAAGAGATTTCCAAAACTTGGATAATCACCAAAATTTATAAGCATAACGATCAAATAAATAGTTTCCATATAAATGCGATAAAGAATTTTATTAAACGAAAAGAATATTACATTTTTTTTTATTGACAGTGTTTAAGGATATTACAAAAAATATTTCATGAAATGCCTAAATATTTACATTTATTTTATAAAAAAACAAATAATACTGCTTTATTAGTCTGAGAAATTTAAGAGCATTTGGTATCCTTACAGTTACCAATAAAAGGATAGTTCATTCATCAATGTGAACAGTTTATTTTATAATAGAATTCCTCAGAAAACCGATTTATAATTTTAATTTTCAATTGACATTTTTAGAAAACAGCATAAAAACTAAGTTTTTCTTATAAACTGAACAATATATGAACTTTTACATAATATTTTTTTCCATTTGCCATTTGCACACAAATCATTTAAAATTCAGCTCAGTTATAACCAATGTAGGCTATGGCAATAATAATTGTTCATTTGATAGACAATAACTCTACCCACTTCCCAAGTCTATTTATTTTTAGGCTCAATTACAAAATAAGGACTATGACAACCAGTCAATGACGAGATCCTTTAGATATTGAAATTTTAGGAACTTTTGCGAAACTTGACTGACAAAGTAAACTTTTCATGTAAACTATTTATTTTGGGTTCGTGTTTGAGGCCATCCTTAGGGGTGGAATTTTCGAAAAGTACTATGCCGGTTACCTTCGCGGGAGTGTACTCAATAACTTCCCAAAGTTTCATGGCAATCGAAAGAATGGTGTACTAATGCATAAATGACACACACATACATTCATTTTTTTATAAATAGATAGATAAATATACTAAACCCAGTAATTTAAACATTTCATTTCTTTAGAGCAAGTCATATGCCATATTTTTCAAAGATCCTTAACCTTAATAGTTTATTAAGATTAAGAATTCTGCACAACGTTGTATTTACGAGTATATCTGTGCCAAAAAGTTTAGGTAATAAATAGTTCCTTAACTTTGTGAAAAAAATAAGAAACTTGGTATTTTTTAAGTGTTATTTACTTTTATTTTTGAGCCTTGAAGTTAAAATATGTGGGTTTTTTTCCGACAATGTGAAACAAATAAAACATAATATTAGTAAAAGTATATTTTTCAAGGTAGGTGGTATTATAATTTTGAAATTCAAATTATTACGTTTTTACATAACTGTAAAACACGTTATGTACATTAATTATAATGCTCACCTGTTTTTTAAACGATAAAAAATATGCATAAAGTGTTTTTAAAAAATACAAACATTAAATTACAACCATACCGGATTTTATTAAACACTCAGTAGCGCTTATATCGGATTACACATTAACAATTAAACAATACAACTTGGTAACTTATTGAAACTAGATCTACTGTATCAAATTATATACATACACATACAAATTTATTATACAATTTGTATACATACAAAAAATCATAATAGGACTTTATAGGATGGTAGAACGCATTTTGAGTTTTTATTGATACTATTTTAAATAATATAATAAAACGTCACTAAATTTCAAATAGTAGTTATAATAACTGTAAAACTGCTTTTAATATTCTGTTAATAGTACATCATTTTTAAGATCAAACGATAGCAAATATTTTTTTTTTTTTTGTGATCAATATACAATGCACTTAAATTAATTTTTTATTTTGACAATTTCGTCCATTAAAATAATATGACATGTACATACTTATTTGAGCATAGTATTGTTTTTTTTGTGTGTCCAAATCAAAATATTCATTCCATGATTACATAATTCAATTATAAGTGTATTATTATTAGTGATTAAGAAAGTTTATAAAGACAATTAAGAGGGCGTCAAAGCAAAAGTGAAACGAAACCAACGCTCAAGAGATGGCGTTATTTTCCATATCGGCGCGGCGGCGGCGGCATATAGCCACGCCCATACGAGTGCTGCGACGCTGCGCGTTGCAGCCAGTGCGGAGTAGCACATCATTCTTTTACGGACAGCCGTTCTAGTAAAAACTAATATTATGCGCGCGCAACGTATGCTCTATCACGTTGGACATTGGCGCGGCACTATAATATAACACTCGCTATTGCGCTCGCCCGCTTGTTACAAACTAGAGTATTATTTTTAATACTGTTCATTAAAATGTATGTAACATCGAACAAAATAGAAAATACAATAGCTATCATAGTTTGAATAACTTTGATAGCTTTATTACTTTTGTTGTTATGACAATATAACCTATGAATAATTTTCTTAGAAATCAGAATAAACGTATTGATACCTCGTACTTCCTTATTAGTTATTACTTATTATATGCGAATACACGTCGACCAGTTTCAAAAAGAACTTAATTATTATCTACTTTAAATCTCTACATTTTATAAAACAAATTTGTTTACTGTGTCTGTGCACGATTTTTTCAGTAAATACTGAACGAATTGTATTCTAGTATTCACTGATAAAAGGAGTGTTTCACGAGGATAGTTTAAATATAATTTGTGAGTACTTTGTGGCAGTTGTATGTATAATTCCGGGCGAAACCGGATACATGGGAAGTTGTTAGTAATGTAAAACGTCAACTTATGTTGAGTTGTATAGTTACTCGTATAAATACTCAAACATAGAAACATATAATAATAATTTAATTTGATTTAAATGATAATAAGTATAATATATATAGTTATGAAATATTTAGTATTAGTAATTATAACATAAAATATAATATTGTACCTATAAAAAACTAAAAAAAAGTATAATACATATACTACTAAGTAAAAGGCTACAAAATGAACATGTAGTTATTTTATGTATGTTATTTACATGTATGTTATTTTTATAACTATGTATTACCTCCCTTTTTTTTCTTTTATACAATCCATTATGAGTTTTGGATCTTTTATATCGTTTGTTTGCAGCCTTTTCCCGTATTGTGGATTAATAATTTCTGGGAGTAAACACTCTTTGTAGAACCTTATAATTAATAAATACAAAACTTAGTCATAATTTTATTGTTTATATTTTTTTTATAACTTACTAATTATTAATTGAAATTAACAACATTTTACAGTATATCCCTAAAGATTTGGAAATTCCTGTAAATATAAAGAATTTTCATGATATTTTAAATATATTAGGAGTACAATGTTTCATCATCAACGATAGGTTAATATTTGAAATTAAATTACCCTTATGTAATAGCGAAAATTACACCATGTACCATATTTTACCACTATATATTCCTATCAATAAGAACAACCAATTTGTCCATCTAGTTCAGCATAACAAATATTTAATTACCGATATAAAAGTAGATACGTATGTAGAAATTAATGATATAAAAAGCGTTTGTAAAATAATAGATAATTTTTTTATTTGCGAAACAGACACATAGAGTACAATAGACAGAATAAACCAAATTGTGAAATTGACCTACTTAATAATTATTATAAAATACCGTCGACTTGTAATATGTATGTTACAGAATTTACATCGGAGACGTGGTATACATCATATTTTAATAACCACTGGTATTTCGTTTGTAGTCAGCCTACTCTACTGACAATTATTTGCAAAAAATATAGTTTTATTAAAAAAATAATTATAGAAAATTCTGGCAAGTTGTGGTTAGAAAAAAACTGCATGGCCTCTACACCCAGTAGTAGTTTAAACCCCATTAGTTCGTATACCTCTAATTACAAATCCTTACCTATAATGATTTCGCTGATAGAGGATAAATGTTGTTCAGAAATAAAAAATAAAACAATTCCTAAACCCGTTCACTTAGAAGTTCTAAAAAATATAAAAATTAATGAACAGTCTTTACACAAATTAAATTTAGAGTTAGATGAGGAAGGAAAATTAGCTACAAAATTATATGATAATATATATAAATATTTAATTGATAAGGCCTTAGATTTTTCTTTTGTGACTATTTTTTTTATAATTATAATCCTTGTTTTAATACGTATAATAATATACTATAAATATTTTGTAAATAAAAAGCCAGTTTCAAATGTTCAGGTCATAGAATTAGGTAGACGTGATCCTTTGGATACCATTAATAACCCTTTAAATTATGCACCTGATAATTTTATGCGCGAAAAATAAGTCATGATGTACAACGTAAAATTAATTGTATTTTATTTTATATTTATATATCAATATATATTATTATATACCTACTATAAATGTAAAAAAAGTTTTAATTATTTTGTGTGTCAATTATAATTGAAACTATTTTATATTTTATAAATAATATATATGTATAAATGTACTTAAATTATACTTTTTTATTATAGTTGTAAATTAAATATTTTTGATCTTTTAATGTATCGTTATTTACTATCATAATACATATAAAATTACCACACTAGATTTGAGTCGATTTCACTATTTTTAGCTAAATTACAGCAAGTCTGTGTAAAAAACAAAATAATCAAAAAGAGGTACCAATACGTTTATCCAACAATGATACATTATTATAACAAAAGTAATAAAGCTATCAAAATGATTCAAACTATGTTGGATATTGTATTTTCTATTCTGTTTGTTGTTTCATACATTTGAATAAACAGTAGCTATTTTAAATACTATTCCGAGACATGCGCGCGAGCTTGCGCAATAGCGAGTGTTATAACGCAGTGCCGCAGTCAACACCTACCCGGTCTTTTTTTTTTTGTGTTTTAACATTTTTGGGGGAAAATGAGTAGATTCTTCCAAATCTTACCCCTCTATGTACCAACTATATCTAATTACTGATCGATTGATGTGCCACTCGATTAAATCGGTATATCGGGTTAAAAGTTACAGTAGTTCAAAGTTAGGTACAGCGTACGGATAGCACAGCACAGCTCACCTAACCCGGTCCGGGCTAAAAATCAGTATTTTAGAATATTATAAAGTAACAGAAATAATATCGGATATCGATAAATGCAATATAAATAATAAAAAAACTATTGTAGATAAGAGGAAATATGTAATATTATTACCTGCCGCCTAAAACCGGTTTTGGTCGTGGTCGGCGGCCGCAAGTATACGCTAAACCTACTCGGTTTCCCAGAAAGTTGCATATCCTGAGACATGTTTTACGCGCCGAAAAAAAGTGGTGTGACGCCCTCTTAAAGTATAACTATATAAGGTTAACTAATAAATTTAAAAAGCGATGATATAATAAATTGTACAGTTTCAGTTGTACTGTTGGGCAAGTTAGTTTGTTGGTGAGTCACTTAAAGTAGATTATAATAAATTAGTAATTAGTAAAATATCTATTGTCTAAAATGTAAAAAAGTTTTGTAATTTGTGTCAACTGAAATGTGTGTTATGTACTAAGTTGTTATAATAAAATAAAATATTTAATTTTTTTTTTTTTCTATTTTAAAAACAAATATTATATTCAATTTTCTGATCTCATGGCTGTATGTTAGCTTATATGTTTTTATCATTTAAACTCTTAATAATATATAAAAACACTTACCTACATATGAAATAAAAAACCGCTATCTGCATTTTGATGATTTTGTTTTTATTGATTTTATTAGCAATTTTTCACTAATACTTTACATTGAACTAAAATTTGTTAACTCGTGCAAAAACAATACAGGAAAAAGGTATCTATTTTGATATTTCAGTTAATTGAAAAAAAATTCAAGTTCAACTAACATTTCAAGTCAAAAAAAAACAAAATTTAAATTTGTTCAAGTAAGTATTGAAAAATCTATATCTGCTTTGAAACTTTTATCAGATCACTTGTTTTAAAGTAAGTACGGTTAAAAATAGAATGAGTTATTTTCGACCAAAATTACACCCCCTTGAATAAAACTTATTTTATTAACTGTGTATTAACTGTAACGAAATTGTTCATACTGCTTTGAAGTTTGAACAATACAATTTAAATATAACAAGAAAAATTACATAACCTAAAAATAAATTGCTTTTATAAATTCAAGAAGAAGAAAATAAGAACGTTAGAATTTCAATACTTCTTTGACAATAATATAATTTTAATATGCAGCATGGATTTATTTAAACATACTACTCGGTTCTATTTTTTTTTATTAATATAATGTAATATTGACTTGTACAAATATGCATAAATTATAGATATGCTATCAAATCGAAGAAAATTAAATTTTCTATTATTTTATGTTTTACCTATTTTTACGCTTTTAAAACAATTTTATATATTCCAGAAATTACAATTTTTTAAAAAAAAAAGGCAAATAGAGTAATCTAAAAAACTCAGTGTTGTGATACAATTTAAAACAAAAAAGTTGTTTTATTACTGTTATATGACTTATATGTTATTAGGTATTACTGTTCAGCTCATGAGCGAACACGCATGTTGTTAACAATTTGTTCTACGATATTTAACTGTGCAGATTTTTTTTTTTTTATAATGTCGCCGAGAAAAAAAATCTTAGTTGGTATTAAACGAACTTGATCAGGTAGAATGGCTATGAAAAATAAATAAAGAGTGTTAAAAAAAAGTGTTTTTACGCTGTACACGAGGTAGGTTTCTTTTATGTTCTTTTTAAACTGTTGTAAATGAAAATCAACGTTCAGATTTGGCTCAAATGCAGTTATAAGCATTTATACTCTATTTTCTAAAGTAGGATTTAATTATTACCCGATTCGTTTGTACCCTTACTTAAATGTGTGGACAACACCGAAAGCGCACAAAAACCTATTGTTAAATAAAGAACCATTTTAAAATTATTGAGTTTTCCCAGAAGAACTCACCGACGTTCCTAAATAGTTGTTATGTAAAACGGCAATTTATCATTTTATTATAATATTATCTTTAGAGTACAGCCAATACAAAGGAATTGTGTATTTAATACAGAATATATCTATATTTAGTTATGAATATTGTTAATATTGTCAACTAGCTATGTGTTTGTAATTAATAAATAAGTCTTGTTGCTACTTCTTAATAAAAATATTACCCTCGAACCTTTGGTGGATATTAATCATTGGACTCATCTTTTGAGTCGCGGGAAATAATTATTTCTGATTGTACCATGATAGTATGTTTAGAAATGTACATACAAATTAATGTCAAAGCCTGTTGCAAATAATTATAAAATCATTTTTAAAACATTTATATCCGACACCAATAATAAGAAACAACAGTTTTTTTAGCTGATAGGGTATTGGTATTGGAGTGATTTTATCACTTCCAGTTACATTAATACCCGAAGATCATCATAATACATCGGCGATTTAGTCAACAATAATTTATTTGAATGGTTGAAAAATTACAAATATAATTATTACAACTAGCTTGTGTCTCAAGTCTTATAACTAGTAGCTAACAAACTATTGTTGTAACTTGAACGAAAGTAAATTTCATTTATCCATCAGTTTTCATTAGAGGCAGAATAGTATTTACATAACGAAGAAAAGATGTACACCGTTGTCTAATTAACTATTAAGTTTGCATATTATACAATATAAGTTCAAAGGTTTAGTTTTCTGTTTTTTCCATACGTACTTTTTATTATACCCTTCTTTTATACAGTTTTCGTGTAATTATTTCACCGATATTTATAAAAAAAATTAAAAAAAATTAATTATTATAAAAACGGTTTTACAATATGACAAAAAACAATACTATTTATTTAACTTTGGTTTTAATCAAAAGGCCAACGTGGTTCAATAACAAATAACCACGTTTCAGTAAATGCTTGAAAAAACTAATAAAATCTATTGTTCTGGATTACTATTTGATGCGGGAGGAAAATTCAATGAAAATTAATTAAACCCCCCCCCCTCCCATCCACCCACAAAGAGGAGAAATGTTAATTTATTTTTTTTAATTTGAATGCGCAATTTTAAATGTTACTAGTCATTGTGTTTTAATACGTTCATTCTAAAAAGTAAAAACTAAATTTAATATACCGTTATGATATTTAAAAATACGTTTTAAACGTTAAAAATGTTTAAACCTCTCTCCCAGATTAATGCAAAATTACCGTCAAACATCTACAAGTTATGATACTGATCTTAAAACTGCAATTGTAGATAATATAAGACTTATTGTATACAAATCTGAACTTATCTTAGAGCTTTATTTATATGTACTGTGGCCTGAGATTTAATTAAAATGTCAAACTATAGTATTTGAGAGACTGTGGAATACAGTTCTCGCGTAGGCACCTTTAGTGCCACAATGGCCATTAGTTGGGAACCATGTAGAAATTAATTACATGTTATAGCAAAAGTATATTAATACTTTCAAACTCTTGTCAAAAAGTTTGTAAGTATTTTTTATATATTTTAAAATCACGCGAGTTTATATATTTCTAAATTAGTATTTGCAAATAACTGTTTAAGCGTTGTAAAAATATTTCCATTAAATACTGTCAAATTATGACAAATTTTCTGCACTTTTATAAAATTTGCACAATATTATTGTAATAATAATTATTAAAATACGCTTTACTAGAAGAAATTATAAATAAATAATAAACACAATAGCAAAAAATTATATTTTGTGTATTTCACCTTGGTTTTATTTTTTTTTGTAATACTGAAACTTACAAGTATTGGGAAAAGTTACCAGTACCTTTACAAATGGAAACAATATTTATTCAATTGGACAAATCCAGAAGCTACAGTTATATCAGATGTTTATTATCATTTATTTTTTTACTCAGTAGATTTTTAATCATTTATAGATAATTATAATTTCAAAAATTCGAAATATACAGTGTGACTGATATAATACAATTTTTTTGGTTAAGTAATTAAAATTTGAAATTTTTTTTTAACAATAATAAAACAGAAGAATTTCTGAAAATGTTGACTGGGCGATAACCAGTTTTGTATAATTACTTTTAAAGTTAATAAAGTTTAAAACTAATGATGGGTGGAGTGTGATATCATTTTTATCTACGCAACTGCATTCCACTTCCCGTCCTAAATTTTAAACTCTTAAAACTAAAATTAATAATTCAAAACTGGTCAACCAGTCAACGTTTTCAGCAAATTATATATAATACCTATATACAATAAACTAAACTGTTTCCCTTGTGAAAATTATAGTTTAAACAAAACCGTGTGTATATTCGATATTTCAATGGTTTGCGAACATTTTGTTTGGATTTTATATAATTTTTTTTTTAAATTGTCAACTACCTACCGTTGAAAAGAAAATAAGAAACAAAAGGCATCAGGCATGCAATTTCTTAGCATTTTTATTGACTTGTTGGTTTGAGGTTCGTGGAGCGGCCAGACAACTCACTGGATAAACCCTACGATTTTTAATGACTACACAATTTTCATTATGTCTGAACTGAAAAAAACAATTATCGTAGAATATTCAACACAATGTCATGTTAATATAGTTGGACTTTGACTGGGAATGTTGATTAAACGCTAACGTTTTTATCGATAAGTGGGTATTATGAAACATAAATAAGATAATATAATATATTTATAATTGGCCCGATGTGTTGATTGTCCGTTGCGTACGGCATAAAAGGTCCACGGTCATTGAGTTTGTGTTTTATTTTTCGAAATGCTTTTTTTATTATTGTTTATTAATTATTAATGTATTTTTTTCGTTATCAGTAGCACCTAATGTTATCAACTATAAAACTTGGGAGTAGGTCTCACTTCCTACACGTACGATTGTTAACAACGATAATAGTGTGTTTTTGTACGACTTCACAGTGCACGAGATAATAAAAAAACGCCAATAATAAAAAATATATATACATATATATATTATTACAACTGCAATAACATAATAGTGTGTCATACTATAGGTATTATGTACGTTTAGGTTTGATGTTATTACAGAACGCCAGCGGCCAGTCGCTCATACGCACTATTGAATTAAACTCGGATTTTGTTAGTCACTGTTGTTGTATACTCCATTGTATACGTTTGTAATTGGTATGAGTTCTGTAGAGAAAACTATAATATAATATAAAACTTAATATAATATAATAGTAATTCGACTCGAACGTTTCGGCGGTGTCAAGTACCATCGAACTTGATTTGTGCATAAGATGAGCACATACGATTTTAACCTCTATCATTCTGGTCAAGTATTTAATTTGTCACCAACTATACCCACTCAAATCTAATCTCGTTTGTGGCCTCTAAAACTAATGGTGAAATTATATCAATTGACAATGAATCATGACGAAGGAGAATTAGAGTAAGTTATGTTTTTTAATTATTAATTGTAGTTATTTTATCTGCAGGCCGCATATTGGTGTGACGACAATTATCTTGAGTGTGATAGCGTTGAGCATTTTTTTTCTCACTCGGTTGTACCTTTGCATACGTAAAATGTGTGTGTGTGTTCTCACTAAATGTTAACAAAGTCTGTAACAATACAAACAGTTTGGTAGTTTATTTACGGCTTAACAGTGCGCTTAATGAAGTTAGTTATGCAAGTCCGAATAATAATGCCAAAATGATATGTGAATATTTTTATTTGAAATTGTTTGTTTTTAAATTCTGTTTAAAACTATGTGTAAAATTATGTGTAACAAAAGGTGTTTTTGGTTTTTTATGCTTATTAACTATTTTATCGGTAATATTAATTGTAATTTAATTTTACAGAAGGCTGATAGCAGGCGATAAAGAACATAAAGATTCAGAATGTCCTAGCTTTTGGTGTCAGCTGATTTTGTCATTGTTTGGCGTTCTGTTTTTGTTCACCGGAATTATAATGACTGGTCTGTGGCCACAAATATTTGGTGACGTTATGAAACATGTAATATATTTTTATTTAATTATCCATTTCTAAACCTTGGTAAACTTTGGTTGAATAACATTGGGTTGAAACCTAAACTAAAGTGAACATAATTTCCTTTATATTGTGTTTTTAAAGAAAAACGGTAGTGTGTTGTTAAATTATAAAAATATTTTAAAACCCCCATTTTCATTATATTTGTTTATTTTTTAGATCATGGGTAATGTTCAGTAATTTCAAATAATAAACTCATGATCAGGTTCAAGTATTTTCCAGAACTCACAAATCATTTATTAGCTAGGACTTTTCATTTTTCTAGGTTATCGACATAAATTATCATACATACTAACATTTTAAATTGAAATTATGGAAAGCAAACACTCTCGTAAATTATCTTTCTGCCATTTATTTTAGATTTAACTGGCTTAAATTTTAAAAAAAATATTAAGAAGTAAAGCAAAGCACAAAGTCAGAGCTCCAAAAACCCCCTAAGAAAATTAAATAACGACCACCCTATTATAGCTTGAACAAACCTAGTTTGTGGAGAGCCTATATGTCAGTTCACTGTACTTTTCTTCTCATTCCGAAATATTCCACTCTAGCATTCCATGTATTTCTTCTATCAATTGTTGTGTTAACATTTTTCTATGAACAAATTAAATATATATAATATAATTTTTACTAGACAATCAAAATATGATAAGTGCAGTAACTCTATCTTCATATGCAATGGTTGGATTTTTTTTTTTTTGTCGAAACATAATGCAACTGTAGCTTAACTACTCCATGAGTTAAAGCATATTTTTTAAATTTATAAAAAAAATTTTAAATGTTAAAAAAATAGTAATTATACCCCAAATCTAATAAATATGATTGTATTAAATATGTTGGTAATTTTATTTTTATTTTTATGTATTAATATTGGTATTAAGTCAAACATTGAATTTGGAGTGATTTTTATATTATAAGGTAATGTTTTTCTTTCAACCACTGTTCTGAAAACTTGTTAATAACTTGTTGTTTTTTGGCTTTTGAATATAGTTAATTATTATACATAGATAATGTAATGCATTGTATTCATCATTATACATCAATCAAGTAATCAATTTTTTTTTTAGAAACTAGAATTGAGAAATAATACTCAAACTTACAAGTATTGGGAAAAGTTACCAGTACCTTTACAAATGGAAATATACTTATTCAATTGGACCAATCCAGAAGCTACTTTACAAAATAAAACTAAACCTGTATTACAACAATTAGGACCTTATGTTTTTACGTACGTAATATTTATTTTATTTAATACAAAATTATGTAGATCAATTTTAAATATGAATACTGTATTTATCTTTTCTGCTACTGTTGTAATTGTATAACTGTTGACTTACATCTTGTTGCTTACAAAGTATTTTAATTGTTTTTTTTTTTTTTTAGGGATAAACGATTAAAAGTTAATCAAACTTTTAACAAAAATTCAACCATAACATATATGCAATTAAAAAGTTGGTACTTTGAACCTTTGGCTTCAAATGGCTCATTGACAGATAAAATCACCACAGTCAATGTTATTCTCAGCGTATGTTTATTTACATACTCAAACTATAAGCTGTAAGCTTAACAGTTACTTCATCATCTTTTATTTATTTCTCTTTTTAGGTATTAGGAGAAAAACTGAAAAAAATTAATAGACACTGGGTGTATATTCTTGCAAACTACTATTTAAAAATTAAGAAAATCAATCAACCATATGTGACAAAAACGGCTGGCGAATTTTTATTCGATGGCTATGACGATCCAATCTTGGATGTTATTATAAAATTACAAGCATTTATACCTATAAATGTACCAATCAAGAAAGTGGGATGGTTCTACGGGGTAATCATTTAAATAGTTTTAGATTGCTGCCTTTTTGACAATGATTGGTAATAATAATGTAAATATTTCGTTTTAGATGAATATGAGTACAGCCGCAGATGGTTTAGTTAATATGTATACTGGTGTAGATGATATATCCAAAGTTGGTATTATACATTCGGTTAATTATAATACAAAATTAAATATATTCAATAAAGACTGCAGTTATAGTAATGGCTCTGTCGGTGATTTATGGCCAGAACACTCAGCCTCCCAACCCAATATTTCGCTTTATGTTCCTAGTCTCTGTAGGTATGACTGATCTTTTTTTTTTTCCATTAGTACATAAATTGGAAATTTTTAGCATAGAACATGTTTTAGCCTTGGCCCCCAGCCTGAAAACGACACTAAATTGCAACATTATATTGCTATACTAAAGTAGCACACCTATTTCAAATGTATAATAACATAAAGATGCCATCGAAATAATAACGATTCGTCATCATGCTAATATTTGGCCAAAATATATAATTAAGACTATACTATCATCATAAATCACAAGAAGATTATAGATCAGAATTAATCACTTTAAGATTCAGGAGCTAGCAGGCTAAAGCATGTTCCATGTTTTATAATTTTAGATGTTATAGGCTTTAAGTAAACTGTAACTTTTTTAATTAACACATCATTAGTTGAAAATAATGAGTTATTTGAGATTCATTTTTATTATTTAGCGCTTAAAAAAATGTATTATTTAAATAATACCCAGGTTTAGTTTCTACATAATTTGGGCATAACTATAAATGTCCTTGATTTTATGTATTGATATTTTTTTTAAATTAAGAAATTATTCAATAAATTTTTGTGAAGGTTCGGGTGTTTTTATTCAACTACAGTAATTAGTATTAGAATTTAATGATAAATTGTGATTGTTATCAATATATCACAACATATACTGACATATATTGATTAATCGACATATATATCGCAATTTTCGATATTACATTGTTTTTCGCCATATCACGTTAGTCAATATTTGAGTAATTTCAGTTTTGCCAAATGCTTTTTATTTGATTTACGATGGTTTTGGAACAAAAAATACCTATTATTAAATCAAATTATGTCATGTTTTTATAGTAAATGACAAATCCTTTTCCAATATATTCATTATTTAGCATAATACTTTCTTTCTAAGATATAATTCTAAAAATAAATATTATGTCATTGTCTCCAAAAAAGTTGTTCTCCTTTGTTTTCGTTAAAGGTGGTTTTGTTTTAAAACTATATCATAGGCCGAGTATACCAGTAAAGCATTCTACGTTGTCAAATTTTTACAATTAAAAATTAAGGGTATGACGCCCTGTTAATTTTTCGATCGTCGTAGTACTGAGAATTAGGTCATCTAGGTCCAAGTGGTGACATAATAAGTAATCTATTAGCCTTTAACCTAGTGCTACATCTAATAAATTATTATTTATATGTATATTAACTGACTAAACATGTACTGTTTTAGTGCCGTTACCTTGACGAATACAAACCATGCTTATGTTAATGAGATTGAAGGAATCAACTTTGCTGCAGGATCCGACGTTTTCAACAATACATGCAATTGTCCACCGTCTGGTTGCCAACAACTTCCTGGTGTGCGATCATTGAATTTGTGTGGAAACAACAACCCACTTCCTTTATTTGTATCATTTCCACATTTTTATTTGGCAGATCCTTCCTATGGCCAAATGATAAATGGAATGAAACCAAATAAATCATTACACGAGTTCAAAATCATTTTAGAAAAAGTATTATAGCATATCATAGTATCTATGTCGTGTTATTTTGTAAACTATAATTTTTGTTTTAGGACTATTCCATACCACTCAGTGTAGATGCTAAATTTCAGTTCAATGTCAAAATAAGTCCAATCAAAGAATTCTCGTAAGTTTTAAATTAATATTGATAAACTAAATATGTTGTACTAATTATTAGTATTGTTCAAATTTTGATTGCAGTATTTTGAGAAATGTACCTGAACTATATTTACCAACATTTTGGTTTTCTGAATCATTTGTAATTCCACAAAATATGTCTGATCAACTCACAATTGTTACTAACTTGTTACCAAACATTGTTCCTTATGTATGGTTAATGATGGCCGTAGCTGGATCTGTTATGTTAATAATTAGCACTTATTTTTGGATAAACAGAAAAAACAAGTCATTCGTCTTAGATCCAGTAGAATGAAAATTTCCCTTTTAATTATCATAACTTAAATGACTGTCTAGAAAAAAATGAAATGGTTCAACTCAAGTTACACTTAGAATAGCAGGTATCTATAAACAATAGTTGTAATCTCTGTTAAGTGACATCTAAAACTCTATTATCAAGTTTATCACTGTTCATAAGTACCTTTTAAATTAGATAGTATTCCATTTGAGTACATAATTGACATAAATCTATAAAAATTACATATTTTATAACCATTTAACTTACCTTTAGATATTCCACTATTTTTTTTTTTGTAATTGTGTGTATACATAAACATGTCTTTTTAATTTTCTATTTATTAATATATCATAATTTGATCATTGTGTATGTGATTTGATTTAAACTAAAATTTTTGTTTTCCTATATAATTGTATAATATATTTGTACATAAAAACTCTAATAGGTAATAAATTATATTATGACTGATAGCTTAACCTCTACCATTGGTTATTTATATATATATATATATATATATATATATATATATATATATATATACATTTTTTTGTTATAGAACTATGTCTATAGAACATTACAATGATTTATTTATTACTCATTTTTAAAAAATAAAATGTTTATTAACATTGTAATATATATTACGATTGTAACACAATTGATAAAGCTTTTTTTTCCTTCTACATTTACATATCATTGTCGTCATGCAAAAACTGACTATGTGTAAGAAGTGACTAAGTAAAAGAGCAGTATAAAATGCGTTATTTGAACTATATTTTTGTACTGAAAAAACATTATGAAAACTATAAGAATATACTTAGTCAGTTTTTGCATGACGGTGATGATATGTGTGATCATTGGTAGTTTTTTACAGTTAGATTTGGTACTTTTGTGGGAGGTGGTATAACTTGATCGCCAAAGTCGTCGTGTGACTTGAAAACATAATAAAAACTTAATATTTTAAAAACGTTTCGGGATAAATCATTTCAGTAATGAACATCTGTATTAATATAAATGGACATTATAAAAACCGAGTGAGCCGTGGAAATTACTCACTCAATAGCTATGTGTAAACATTTTTAGTTTTTAAGTGTGGCATAATAAGTACTACATACAAGATCCGATAACATGCGATATTACTAAAAAATATGTTTGCATAAAAAAACAAACGAGTAAACTTGTGAAATACAAAATCATTTTATTTTTTCAATATTATATGGTTTGTGTTCCAAGTTGTATAAGACGGGTTAAGTACCATGGTTGTGGTGTACAGCTGCTTGGAGTATATACAATTAGTTTATACAATAATAATATAAGTTATTGTTAATGTATGATAACATTATATGATATGTGAACGTTTCAAATGAATAACGATATAAATTACAATGACACTGGCGATTATCCACACTAGTAACAGCGGCAGAAATACCATGATAGTAGCTTCAGCAACAGTGCAAAAGAAGTCAATAGAAACAGCAGAGGTGCAATAGCCGTGAGTAAGAGAACCAGTATTACAATACTAGCAAAAAGCAGCACAATAGCTACTATACTGACCACAACTGCGTAACGCACATTTGCGAATAGGCCTTTGCCTATTTCTAGGATGCCAGTCAGAAAGGTCGTTCTAACAACCTGTTAAATACATTTGAAGAATACAGCGATAGAGTTAAATTTCAAAAATTAATTTTACACTTACAAGTTCTGGTTGGTGGGGTAGGTATATAACAGATGACTGTTAAAAACAGAATAATATGTAAATTTCTATGAGAAGTTTATTACTTGTGTGTCGACCTGCAGGTTCGACGAATCCGGTTTTCCGCATTCAATAAGTGAAGTTCTGTCAGGGATTTTGACTTCGGGCAACACAACGACCATCACAACACAAAAACCGTAGAATATAGTTTATACATATTGTATTAGCTGTAAGAAATCCTTTGAAACAGGAAAAATTAGCAAAAACTGTTTGGAGAAATATGTTGTTTTACACTGAAATGGTGCGGTGAAACAAATGTAATATTAACATCAACAATAACAGTTACGATATAAACAAGCCGTTTTAATACATATGTACCTATATATTAAGAGTATTTGCCAGCATATAAATAAGTATATAATATGTTTTTATAATAACATATGTGTTACTTTTTCTTTTCTGAGTGCCGTATTCGTATACGTTAGACCTATCTTCTAAGACTAATTTCCAACTCATAAATTCTAAAATTGCGCATAAAAAGAAAAAAACCCATAAATTTTATGAAAAAAGTTGTGTTTTATTTTATAAAATATTATTTTACACCAATTTCTTATAACTGTATAGGTATATTGTAGGAAAATGTATTAATTATTTTATCGGGTGAGCCCTGCATTAGAGTTCACTATCAAAATAATTGTAATTTTTTAGTTTTTATTTTTGAAAACATTTTTTACTACAATATTGAACAATATTTAAATTTTTATCTTTTTTTTTTTTTTAATTTTCTGGAGCTTCATCGATCTTTGAAACTATATATTTATTTAGTTAACTATATAAGTGTTTAATTAAAATTTTAAAATAAGAATAATTTACTAAAAACATTGTTCGATAATCAATTTTGAACAATCTTTTTAAAGTTCTTAAGTTTTTAAGATTAATCAACTCTTATCCTAAATTTGTAGATCATTATTCTCAATTTAAAAAAACCAGTACAGTGGGGTCGGGGCATAGTGGGGCCGGAGCATAGTTGGGTCGGAGCATAGTGAGGACGGGGAGGTCACAGATTTACAGGAATTTTTAAATCTGAAAGTGATAAAATCACTTCCGAAAAAACGCTTCGATGCAAATCGGTAGTTAGTATTTTCAAGCCATTACAGTCCAAACCAAGCACAGTCTAAACCAGCAAAGTTAGAAAGTTTTAAATTAAGGTTCTGTATTTACAAATGTGCATCAAAGCGTTTATTTGAAAGTGATTTTATTCAATTTTATCACTTTTATTTATAATAATTCCTGTAGACCTGTGACCTCTCCGTTTCCTCATTGCTTTGATTACATTATGCCTATACTCTACTGTACTAGTCCTCTCGGATAAAATCACTTTCAAATTAACGCTTTGATGCTCATTTGTAAATACAGTGATCTTGAGACTTTAAACTATTTTCAAAAAAGTGGAATAAAAAAAAAAGATTCCATTCCTTTTAGGAAACAAAATGTTTGTCAACGCCTATTGTTAGTATTATAATATCATACATAAGTTTGGAAGTAATTGGGATAATTTTTTTTTAAATATAGTGCGCCGCAATTTTAAATAAAAGTATTTCTAAATTTCGTGGGTGTTCTTTTCGATTAAATTAGGGTTTTGGGCTAATAAGCTCACCTTTTGGCTTTCTAGGTACGATCATTAATTTATCATTTATATAGCTTCTACATAATTAAATCGGGTCAGCGGCCAGGAGATATTGGGGGTGCAGACAAAAAAATAAACAATTACCATAATAAATACCTAGTAATAGCTATTAGCTAATACAATCGAAGCTAACAAAATAAATTACAATTATTGTTCTTTTTCAAAATATTCGTCCAAACACTTTATAAAAAAAATCTGCACAAACGCAAGTGTGCCTTCTGTGAATGGTTGCTGGCCCATTCAATATTAAATCACTTAGCAATGCGTCAGTAACCGTCACGACGGTTACTCGTTTAGAAACCGTCGACCGTCACTCAGTCTATAAATATTCGTCCACGTGAAACGTTTGTATTTGTTGTGTGGCGCGACTGTTTTAAAATGAGACCGATTTTACAATTGTGTAGCCGACTCCTGAGACCTTTGAACGTCAGTAGTTTTGCTCCGTCAAAAACCAGAATTTTCAGCCGGTTGTATGCAAACGAGTGTAAGAATACCAACACCCGGAACGGCGTAGTGTTCGGCGTATACCAGGAGGGTTGTGAATACAAATATTCTGTAGACGCGCAGGCCTTCAACGACAGACTGAGTGGTGCGATAAGTAAGCTGTTGGCCGTGTCGCCGATACCGCCCGGCTCTGCGCAGCTATTTAACAACCTGGACAAAGATTACCCGAACTTGGTGGTGGCCAATATCGGGTCACAAAAAGCCGGGTACGACAGCGTCGAGCTTTTGGACCTGGCCAAATCGAATGTCCGGCAGGCTATCGGCCAGGCAGTGTTGCTGTTGGACAACGAAGGCTGTACAAAGATATTCGTCGACGGTCTAGACTGTCCGGACACCGCGGCAGAAGCGGCCTTGCTAGCCTCGTGGAAGTTCAAGGCCATGAAGTCTGGTATCAACCAGACGCAGCAGGCGACGGTGGAGGCGTACAGCAAGGACGACAAGGATTTGTTTGATCGGGGCGTCGTGTTCGGCAGCGTGCAAAACCTGGCCAGAATGCTCACCGAGATACCGCCCAACGCGCTGACGCCGACTTATTTCGCCGATCAAATTATACGGATGTTGTGCCCTTGCGGCATAACCGTGGACGTGCACGATCGCGACTGGATGGAATCGAAGAATCTCAATGGCATTCTGGAGGCTTCCAAGGGGTCGTGCGAGGCGCCCCTGTTCGCCGTCATCGGATACTGCGGTGGCGATAAGAATCAAAAACCGCTGACATTAGTCGGCCACGCCACGACGTACGATACTGGCGGCGTATGTTTGCGCGGGTGTGACGACATGGCGTACAAGAAGCGGCACGTCGCGTCTGGCGCCACGCTGATCGGGCTGATGAAGGGAATCTCGTGCCTCAGTCTGCCCGTCAACGTGTACGCGTATATACCTTTGTTCGAGAGCGGCACGTCGGGTTCCGGCATCAAAGCCACAGACGTGTACACCGCACTCAACGGTAAGTCAGTCAACATAGACAACACCAAGTACATCAGCCGGTTGGCCGTCGCGGATACCATAACGTACGCGACGCGCAAAGAGGCCGAGCCGCAGGCGCTCATTAACGTCAGCACACTGTGCGGCGTCACGTCCAGACTGTTCGGCGAACTGGCCACGCCGCTATTCACTAACAACGTGGGCATGTGGAAAGAACTAGAACGGGCCGGTTCCATCACCGGTGACCGCGTTTGGCCGATGCCGTCTTACGAGCGCAAGGCGCAGATGATCACCCGTGACGATATTGCAGACGTGGCCATGCTAGGCGAGGGCGGCGTTGACCTGGATGACCTGGGCAAGAGCGCGGCATTTGTCGCACAGTTTCTCACCGACCCCAATATAGAGTTTGCACACCTCGACATTGGAGGTGTATGTCGCAACAACGACGTGGTCACGTTTCCATTCCTTCGACCAGAGTTCGCCACCGGCCGTCTAACCCGAACGCTATTGCAGATGATTTACCAGATGGCATGTCCACACATACCGCCGCCACATAAATGATTTTTTATTTTATGTCAAAATGTGAATAGTGACCATCGTTTCGAATAAATTTCTTTTAACAACTATGGGTTACGTCTTTACCCTTGAGAAAAGGTGAGTTCAAAAAACTTCGTGAGTTGGATGCACTAAAAAAATATTTTTCGTTGCTAACCCAAAATAAACACTTGGTAACCACGGTACTCGAAAGGTGATGATTGTTGTGGCCAAAAGTTTTTTAATAGTTTTTTGACATTTTCATGTCTTAGCTCTGGCACATAACCGAAAAAAGCGTTCGTTACAAAAGCGTTACAGGGGTAGGAGATAGGGGGTGGGAGACAAGAAATATGTTGTACGTTCAACGTTCAAATTAGAACTAAATGATAAATTCAAAATAGTTTAATTCTCTATGTTAAGTTATTTTTGGCCAGATAATAAACACTACAATTTTAGCCAGAAACTTGATTGTACATAACTTTTTAATCTCCTTGGCCTAATGTATTCGGTACTTCAACGAGACATGAAAATGCTCTTTCGTGGTTGCAGACTCGGCTGAAAAACTTTTTTAATAATTGGCCTTAATCGATTTATTGGCAAAACATTCACTTGGTTATTTTTAATCAACTTAACCATTCATTCAAGTTTGTTCGTTGTGAAAACACATAATTTAAAAAATATAACATCCCCACCCTCATAAGAAGGATATATCTGTAACAACTGTGAATAAGTGTGTAAGTCGATTTCAGTGATTTTACAGGGGAACGATTTGAAACTTTGACCAGCTGCCATAAATCCCTACTTAACCAATAACTCACATCTTTCTCAAGGTTTTCTTGTTGGTCCAACGAGTTAGATATTTATTCATGGTGTGCTAAACGCCTCGGACTACATCCTAGCGTACTTAGTAAATTTTGACTAAAATTCGACTTACACGCTTATTTAGTTGTTACAGATATATAAGGATCAAAGCGTTTTTATTCAATTTTATCACTTTTATTTAAAATAATTCTTGTAGACCTGTGACCTCTCCGTTTCCTCATTGCTTTGATTACATTATGCCAATACTCTACTGTACTAGTCCTCTTAGATAAAATCACTTTCAAATTAACGCTTTGATGCTCATTTGTAAATACAGAACCTTAATTTAAAACTTTCTAACTTTGCTGGTTTATACTGAGCTTGGTTTAGACTGTACTGGCTTGAAAATACTAACTACCGATTACATGTTTCAATCGTGTACTCCATAGTTTAAATTATAATCGCTTATTCTCAATATTTATGTGTTATATACTTCCATTAGAGCAATCTCACACAAACTATTTATACTTCATAGATTATATTATTTCAAAGCTATATTATACTTCTATTTTACTAGATTGACAATGTACAAAATAAAATGCAACTAAAAAAACCTTTTTATAGAATCTTAAAGTGTAAAGGGTGGGATAGTGAAACGGGTTTTCCCATTTAAATACATTAGAAAATCGCCGTTTACTGCCTCATCCTGTATATTAATTTCTTGGTATTTTCTAAAGAAAAATCAATTTTCTTACATTTAAATTAAAATAAATCGTATACTGGTACTGTGATGGAGAAAACAATACATTTTACCTACATATATTACTTATTAGTTAAATATTACTAACGTGTAGGTTACTAATGTGTAAAAATTTTTAGTTTTTAAGTGTGGCATAATAAGTACTACTTACAAGAGATGATTCGATGTTAATACCAGGAAATTCACATAAAAGAATATCTTTTGAACAATAGGGGGCAGTGGAGGTTTTTTTAAATCGTTATCATACCAGAATCTATCACATACACTACATACATACAGCACCAAAGTTATTGTTTAAGAACCTTGATTGAAATTGAGCGTGAGCTTTGGAACGTATATAATATTCATCATATGAGGCGACAGTGATATATTCTAAAGTTTCAATAGTAGTTCTATCTTCTAATGATTGTTCCAGTTCTGATGAAGTCGATAACATTTATTGAGGCGAATGGGATATATCTGGAGGATGCATTTTTGACAATGTAGTAGAAGTACTAGTAGATGCTACTTGAGAAGTTCTGAAAATAGATTTTTGGCGCTCTTTGAATTCTTTTTGTCTCTCCGCGTTTGTCTTAGGCACAGCTAAAATGTTACAAAAGTTTGTTTTTTTGTGTGAAACGGGATCGAAATCCAAGTTATTTATTATCTATTGGTTATTTATGTAACGATCTAGTTTTCCAATGTTTGGTTTTCTAATCAACTTATTTACTTATTGTATAAAATATGAAATTTTTTATACTAGATAATTAAAAAATTATTTTTCTTACTACTCTCCTGCACTCGTAGATGGTACTTGGTACAAGATAGTATAAGCTGGTTCCAGTCTTATTTTTTTGGGCCTTATGGCTCTCTTCGTATTTGTTTTGTTGTTCCGCGTATGTGTTAGGCATAGCTTAAATGTTACAAAAATATGTTTGAGGTGAATCGGAATCGAACCCAGTTTATTTATTTTACGTTACGGCCTAAACGTATAAATATAGCTATTTTTTTTTTTTTTTATAGCAATGATATGTAGTTGTTGATTATTTAAATTTAACCACACAAATATATAACATGAAAGTAAAGAGAGAAAAAACTAAAAAAAAATTTTCGGATTAAACGGATTGGAACTCCGATTCGTGAGCGTCTCTTGCAGTACTGCATTACGCAGCACTTGTCGATGCATCTAATTTAGTTAAATGGATACAATTTTATTTCTTAAGCACAATATATCAATTAAAATCAACGAAAAACCATTTTTTTTTGGTTTTGTTCTTATTTTTTATCTATATTTATATCATCACTGTTTATTCAAATTTCATTTATAATTTTGTATTAAATAATTACCTAATCGTTTTTTGTTACGGTCTATAAAATGTACAATATACATATTATAAAATATTATATTAAGTATATTACCTAATTCTAACTTTCTATTTTAATTAATTTATTTTATTTAATTAATAAAATACTTACTTGTACATTATAATTTTACTTATACAATATAATTATTATTTTTACATTTTAATATAGTAATAAAGTTATTAGATAAAACAACTTTAAACTTAACCCTTGTCTTGTTAGGCGATGACAATATAAATAACAAAATTGTATTGACATAGATTGAAGTCCGTCTTATGAAAAATACACAGTTACCGTCAAAATTGGTTCAGCGTAATTTTTTAGTATATTTTACATTGTCATTTCTTTACAACCTATCACGAATTAATCCCATCCGTCACATCAATATCCGAGTTGTTTCCGTCAGGGTAATGTACAGATTGTAACTTGTTGGTACTAGGGTAAGATGCGCGGATAGAATATTTATAATATACAGCGATCAACCACATCAAAACGGAAATTAATTTTGCTATTTTATGGATATTAGGAGATATGAGTGCAACAAAAATTAAATGAACACATTTTTATTTCATTCATAGGTATTATTGTTTGAAATTTCACACGTTTTAAGCAAACTACAAATACACATTAAGTACTTTTTTTTTTGTTCTATACAGAAAAAAGTTGCTATTAAATAGACTTTATACAATACAAGGTTTTATTCGACAATTATACTATAATATAAAAATTATATACAAACACATTTTATTGTTAATAGTAGTCGTCAATGTGCTAACAGTTAAATATAGTTTTGACATTTTACTTATATCTTCTGTAGACTAGTTACACAATATAAGCATGTATTTTACTTTTACACAAGTAATTGTTATTTAATTGATTTAAACATTTTATATAAAATAAATTTTACAATACGAATAAATAGCAAAAGGTTTGTCAGAATTCTTACAGGTTTTTAAAAAGTATTTGTATTAAAATTTAAAGTAAAAATTCCCTATTTTCGTTTATCATTTAATAATAAACAAAATTAAGAAAATTAATTTGTACCAATATTCTTCTTTTAAATTTGGGTTTGACATGGGTATTAAATAAGAATTAGTTTTCAAACACACGCCATTGATATCGTTCAGGAGGAGCAGGTGGAGCAGGTGGAGCAGGAGGAGCAGGAAGAGCAGGAAGAGCAGGGTAATTCTCTTCAAATTCCCTTCTGGTAGTGGCTACATCTGTTTTTTCAAATGGATCGACCTCGGCTAAATCGTTTCTAAAACATTTTATGACTTATATAAATATTGATTCAATAGACCATATTATTTACTATATACATTATACATACCTCAATGTTTCAGGGATAAGAAGGTTATCCGTAGGACGTTTCCCTTCTTCAGCATATTCCCACATATGAACAAGGCACATATCTTTTAAACTGGGATCTAAAAATAATGTATTAAATAAAAAATTAATTTAATTAAAAATATAGAAAAAAAGCTGTCTTACTCAAGTTTAAAACATGAAGATCATCATGATCTTTGAGTTGATTCATAGATGAATCAGTCAAATCATAGTCTTGTTGTCTTGAAGAGATATCGGTTTTACGAGGATTCGGACTAGTTCCACCGGATATGAATACTTGGTCGTTGATTACTAAACAAATCTGTCGTCTTCGAGCGCAGGGAGATGTACCTTTTGGTGTGATCATCATCCACGTGGAACTAACAGGATCATAACGGTTAATGTCTTTAAAATGGAGATTCATGTTTCTGTTGAATCCACCGAATATATATAAAAAGCCATTATGAACAACTGCAATGAATTTGACACATTTTTTCAATTAAATAATATAATTTGTTACGCATAACTACACAGTATACTACATACACGCAGAATGACTCCGTCGTCCTGGAGGTTTAACTCCATTGAGTGTAGGATGTACCCAACGATTTAAAGTCGTATCAAAGTAATATACTTCGGAACAGTATACTTCTCGATCGGTTTGTCTAGGGGCATACATATCGCCACGACCTCCAAATATGTACATCTTATCATCAATTGCAGTTGCCGTATGAAAATCTCTAAGTGAGGGTGGAATACCCTACAAATAATATTACATGCTAATTAAATACACAAAATGAAAATGGTATTATGGAATAATAGGAATTACCCTACCTCAGTCCTTATGTTATGCCATAACATTGTACGAAAATCCAACTTATATAAATCTTGAGAAAATTGACTTTCTTGAAATCCTCCATAAATGTACATACAATTCTTAATGATGCAAGCAGAATGGCCATCTCTGGCCACAGGTATGGTTCCGCGTGTTATCGGCTTTGACCATTTTAAGGTACCTAAATGCAAAATATTATATTTAATAAGATTGATGTTTTATATCTATCTATATAATTGTGTACACACTTTATATGTGTACTTGTATCTAGCTATCTAAATGTGAAATGAGAATCTTTGTCACGGACTGGCTCCCGAACCACTTATCCAATCGACATGAAGGTATTTCAGGACTTATAGTGCATATTGCAGAACAGTCAAACGGACCTTAATTTATCACTTTTAGAATGACAATAAGGAAGAAATCACAGTCAGCAGATTACAAGTAGAATGTGCGTTATACAACCCACCAATGCCCGATTTAAAAGAAACAATAATAACTGCAAAAGTTTTTGAAATTACACTTACCAGTATCGAAACAAAACAGGTCGTTGCATACTTCGTTGTCATTACGTCCACCCCACAAATATACTTTACTACCATAAGCAACTGCTGTATGTCCATATCGCTGAAATGGAGTGCATGTGCAATTCTTGTCCTGGTCCAACTTCCACCATTTAAGTTTAACTAAAAATTAATATAGTACATGATTTATTTAACTTTTGGTGTTCAGATTAGATTTTTTTCAAATTTACCCGTGTCCAGTACGTGTATATCAATTGGCTTAAAATTTCTGTAGTCGGCACCGCTACAGTATCCACCAAACGTAAAGACACTCGTTCCGATTGAAACTGCCGCATGATTTACACGACGAGGACCACCTTGCATGTGAACAGTCCAATACATCATGTTATAATAATATTATTATGATGGCTATTGTCACTAGAGAATCGACACTTTTACTGCAAACAAAAATTACACATACATTTTTAACTTATATTACTTGTATAAAATTTCACATTGATTACTTTTTTATTATTATTATTAATAAATTGTTTTTCCGAGATGCATGACGTTGTATAGAATCCCGTCCATTTTTCTTAACGAGTTATATTATTATTAAATATTATAAAACAACAAATAGTACTCGGTACTCCGGTCAACGTACAGAAAATAAACAAATGGTGGTTACAATATTAGTACTTCGAAAAGTTGAAAAGTAGCAAGACGAAAAATAAACAATAATTATATTATCGTGTCAAAAGAAATAGTATTGATCGCGTAGCGTCATCGGAATTAAGCTGGAATGGAGAAGGGAAGTGGCATCTCTTTGGCCAGATAATAATATTATCATTGATAAGCAAAATATACCTATATAGATTGGCAACAGCCGCTCAATACCACAGCCGCTGCTGCTGTAGGGGAGCCAGGCCCAAAAAATTAAATGGTATGAGAGCGGCACCACAGAGAGCGCTAAAACTGTAGTTTGTCGAAAAGGGTTCTTATATGGCTCTGACACACAAGTCACACGACATATCCATTCAAAACTAGGCCAACTTTTTTTTATTTTCATCTACATATAATTAAAGTATAACTGTTATAATATAAAATATAATCTACTTGTTTGGTCATTATTTTGAATAAAACAAATGTAAACACACATTATAATATTTGATATGAGTATAAGTTATTTTTAAAAGAAACAATTCTATAGTATAAAAATATATGCTTCCAAATTAAGCATATTACCGTTAATCATTAATATAGCATGAGGAAAAAATAAAAAATATATTTAACATTATCAGTATAACAAAACAGTTTGGTTCGGGTTAACAACACACAAAGTGCATTTGAAATTAATTAACTCTAATAGGTAAATTCGCATTACGCTTTACGGCCTTCGCCATTCATAGGACGACATAATTATTGTCAACTTGTTTTTAAAGTACACTATCTAGACAAACGCCAAGTTTTGCTAATATTTGCTGATTATTTTTAGTTTTTTTTGTTATAACCTTGTTTAAAAAAAAATAATTAACAAATTTATCAAAATTGACTAAAATTAAGTAAAATATAATATAATAACAATTCGTGTAGCCTTGTCACCGGTCAATTGAAATTTTTAAAACAACTTCATACAATTATTTTCAACACACATATAGACCTATACCGATTGCTCGACTAATTTGTACTTGTCGATTAATTTTATACGAAAATAGATTTGAATTATTTTTATTTGTTAGCACTTTTGTGTAAAATCTAAATATTTTACCTTTATCTTTGTTAGCACTCAAATTATATACTTGTACTTGTACAGTTTTCTAAGTCTTTGTGTTTAAGCTGGTAAGCCTTATATGATGTAGATGGAAAATGAATTATGTCTCCATTTTTGACTCAGCTCATTTAATCAAATTAACTTGTACTATATTATTTAAACATAGAATGTAATAATTATGTTAATCGAAATTCGTAGTTGTAAAGTATGTGCTTAAATAAACGTATTTTTTTGTCGGTTATCGTATACTTTCGTAGGATATATTGTTTTAAATAGATAGGTATAGGTATATTGGTATCACACACATACATATTATACACATTTCTTAATGGTGTAAATAAACTAGAATAAGAACTATTCTATAGCCAAACAAAATAAATAGACATAACACAACAAGAGAAACAATTAAGAGGGCTTCGTTGTGCTTAGCAATCCAAGTTTTATAATTGTAAGCAAATATCGCTTATACTTAAAATATTTTTTTTTTAAGCTCCTGAGAGTCGGAGAACATTTTTATCAGTTTTCAGACAAGTAAATTATATTTTAGTTATTTTGTAGATTACTATTATTATGACAATTATTTAGTTTATTCGTTTATATAAGTATTTCTTTATACATTATAGGTATATATAAAATACCTACAAAATAGGTTTTATAAGAGGACATCAGTAAAATTAAAAACCCTATAATCATTTATCATTTTTTTCATCAATAGTAATTTTTTTATTTATTAAACATAAACATATTATAAACACAAAGCAAATATTATTTTGATTTCATAAAAATAATCAAATAAGTTATGCTACTCATAATATACCTCATATACGATAATAACTCAATATTAAAACGAGTTGTGAAATAGTAAATTTAAAAAAAAAATTTCTTTAACGCTAAATAAAATTGTATTATGAGCCATGAGGTAATAACTAATAAAATTCGATATTTAAATAAAAATTAATTACAAGTTTTTAATCTAAACATTTTGTTATCAGGCATTATCATATTACTAATTTCTATGGAACACCTAACAAATCTCTCTATCTCTCTTTAACGATATCGACCCATAGAATAATTCTATAGAGTTACTCTATGTAACGACCCTAGGACCTCTCTCTCTTCTATCAGTCCAATTCTTTATAGGTCTGTGTAAGAAATACACAGAGCTACACGAGTTTCGAGAACACCAGCAGCAGTTTTAATACAAAATCGTAATGTTCTCTGTTTTTAATATTATCACAAGTTGCTAACTTACCAATATTTTTTTTTGTCTTGATATTAGAAAACTGTTAAGTGTTGATATTTTGTTCTGCAGCTAGTAGCTAAAGCTATTTAGTCATTCTGCATAAACATACTATACAAAATATAATTTATAGTATCTGATTCTGTTTTCATCATAATGTAAACAATATGGCTCGTTATTAATTTGTAAAATGACTTTTAATAAAGTGGTTACTTTAATATAATATAACATAGTACATAATTTTACTAATTAATTAACAACATAATAATTTATAGTTACGTTGGGTTTAGAATTTAGAGTTTTAGTCCCAGTGGCGATAAGAGTTAATATTGCACGAGGCAAGTGATTTTCAGTAAAACATTATTAGCAAAAATTCTAAAACTTACGATTATTTCTAGCAAATTATTTGTTTGTGTTTTGAATGAATTAAGATCATGGAATTTAAAACTAGAGTGAAAAATGAAAGTGACATTGATGCGTGGGAAAAATCTGAAGCATACGAAGTAGGTATATTTTTGCGTGTGTATTAAAATACAATTTTTAAACAATATAGTTATTTCTGTACAAATTAAATTTGTGTTTTTAGGACTATGTTGGTTTTATCATAGCTATGAACAAATCTGTGTATGCCATTCCCTTGACTAAGGCTTTAACGTTATCAGATGAAATAAATCAGTTTGTAAATATATTGGATACTATAAACGAATGGATTACAGAAATTGAACCGTTGAAAGAAAGTTGTAGATTTGGTAACAAGGCTTTTACCACTTTTTACAATATGCTAAAAATTGTAAATGCGTATTTATCTTAAATGCAAAACCGATAATACATTTAAATAATTTTACTATTTAGAAAATTCCTGATATATTATCTAAAGTTATACCATCTGTAGAACAACAAAACTTAATAGAGTTGGCAACATATTTTATCGAAAGTTTTGGTAATCCAACTCGTATTGATTATGGAACTGGACACGAATTATCATTTTGTATGTTTCTGTGTGGACTATTTAAAGTAAATGTATTAAAACAGCAAGACAGTAAAGCTACAGTAAACATATTATTTACAAAGTATGTCTTAGTTAAATATTGTGTTAATGTCTAACAACTATAAATTGTTAGACTATGATAATAACTGCATACTTACTATAAATTGAGTCTAATGGAATACAACTTTTCCTTTAAGGTATTTAGAAATAGTTCGTAGACTTCAACTTAGGTACCAAATGGAACCAGCTGGTAGTCACGGAGCATGGAGTCTAGACGATTACCAATTTGTACCTTTCATTTGGGGTAGTGCACAGTTAATAGGTAAATTTACATTCTTGTAATAACAACCTACCTACTAGTAAGTAAATAATTTACTTATTATTAACTTATATGGAGTATTGAACAATGCTTTCAGAAAACCCCGATCTTACTCCTAATTTATTCGTCGAGGAAAAGTGCGTTCAACAGTTTAAGTCAAAATATATGTTTCTTGGATGTATTGATTTTATAATGCAAGTGAAGAAAGGGTTGTTCCATGAACACTCAAATCAACTTTGGAACATAAGCGGTGTTCAAAATTGGAATAAAATTAATGACGGTTTAATAAAAATGTATAAAAAAGAGGTAACTTTTGACTTGTCCCACCCCCCAAAAAAAAACAACTATATTGTATCATACTTTCTATTTAGGTGTTGGGAAAATTTCCAATTATTCAACACGTACCTTTTGGTAATTTGTTTCAATTCAAACCATCCACAAAACAAAAACTTTCTTCTTCATCATCGACATTTAAACCTCCGTCGTCATCGTTGTTGGAAAAATTAAAAAAACCCCCAACGCTAGAAACAAGTATAAATAAACATTAAAGGAAAATTTATTTGATTTAATGTAATAATTTTTATAATAAATATTGTAAATATTTCTTTTTATTATACGAGTACATCCATAGCTACATGTGTTCGCAATTTAACTAGTACCTGACATAATTATTGAAGCATTAAACACGACTAGCTATATTCATACATAACTTTTTTTTTGTCTTTATTAATTACAAAAATAGTTCTGCGAAATTATACACAAAGATTATTAGTATAATGTATACATGAATATTTAATCAGTCAGAATAATGTCTAGAAAAAGTCTACAATAAAAAATAATATTGAAACAATAGTTATTTTCAAGGATTTTGCATTAATTTGCACTTGAACCCTGACATATCATAATATAATTTCTTACCAAATATTTTAATACATTTTTATATGGTTATTCTCTTTTGAAACAAAGTACAACTGTGATTGATTAGAACAAAAGTGAAGAATACTATAATACTATAATACTTTACTAATCAATAATGCCAGTAGTTGTTCTACTAGAGTATTTTAACTCCAATTTTTGGCAAACAGATGCATTCCATAGTATAAAATATTGTGTACATATAAGTCATAACACAGGAGAGAACAAGGTTTTAAAAAAAAAATTTCCATATATGTATTACTGTTGTAATTTGTAAAAGTAAAAATTAAAAAATACAAGCATTAAAAGAGCATACAAAATAATATAATGTAATGAAATTACAACGAAGAAAAAAACACAAATATATAACATACATCTTACACTAGTCTTCTGTAAGAGCTTAAATTATATAAAATTCTAAATTACACAATGAAAAAAAAGAAAAAGAAATAATATTAAGTCGATACTTGATAAAATTAAAAAAAAACAAAAGTTTATAATCATCAGTTTTAAATTTTAAGTACAAAATAATGGTATTTGCTTATTTTTTTTGACGAAGTTTTGCCATTTGATGAAGAGCACGTGCCGGAGATGGTATAGTATCCAATGTGTGATCCTGCAGTTGTATAAAAAATAAACCAAATTAATACCAAACTTTTATATTTCTAGAGTAAATAGAGTACTTACAGATGTCATATTACTGCTGTCCGTTAGTGGAGGTTTGCTATCAAATAGTTTGCGTTTTCGTGTACTTATTGGAATATTGTTTATTGCATCGTCTAACAGTTTATCACTCATGTCGGGAGTACCTATTTGACATTATATAGTTAAAATATAATACAAAAACTACTAACAATTTTCTATTAAATTAAAGTATATAAGCAGTCACTTTTTTAAAATGGCAATTTTTTGTTATAAAATTCGTTTTAATACAAAACAAATCTGTTCTTTACTTTTAAGCACCACTATAAACAAAAATATACAATATTTTAAGTATTTCTTAAACATTTAAAAACATATTTTAGCATTACTTAAACATGTTTTTCTTAGATTAGAAAAAAGTGACTTTGCTGGTTTTTCCCCGTACCCTTCATATAACAAGCTGTATTACTCGTACTACAAGTATAAAACGTGGATTCCCATTTGTTTTTAAAGGCATTCAATTCAAGTGGCTTTTAAATAAATAATTTCTTTACTATTAGTATTGCAATTTTTTTTAACTTTATTGTCATTAATGGGTAACATTTGTTTGGTTATAACATAAAGGCAAAGTAAGGCAAAATTTAAATACAAAAATCATGGTCTAAAATCACATAAAATTTCTCAACAATACATTACATTGCAATATATTGTTGTTAAACTGTAAACATTTAGTTAAGATTCAACATTTATTTCCATTGGGAAAAACAGAATACAAACAGATATACAACACAACACACGAGTGAATGAAATCTAAGTAAATGATTAAATGAATAGAATATTAATTAGGTTACATTTAGGTAATGTGACAATGTCAAAGTAAATTTTGGACTGACCCCCCCCCGCTCAGGCTAAAATATTTCCATATAGTTAACACATTTACTGCGCCTGTCACAAACACACACAACCAGGGAAAGAATGTCAAGTGTTCTATTTTTGATTACAACACATATGGTCTTACCCCCAAATTTTTTTATGAAAATAACTGTCATTTGAGCAGTATTGGGTGTAAACATTACTAATTAAGAATTAAAAATGACTAAGTGAAGAAATATTTGTGTTCTTATGGTTTTGAGTAAGAGCTATTGCTTAGCTATCAATTTAGTAAGGTAGCTTAGTAGGGAGAGATCCCTCAGCCAGTAGAGAAAAATAAAACATAGGAAAAAATGTTTTTTGAATCATTTCTTTTGATGCAGGCTAATGTTGCAACGTAGTTTTTTAAACGATAAAGCCTACCTAAATTTGTTTTTTAGTTAACTTTAAAAGGTTTTAATTAAATATATTGAATAATTAACTCAATAAGAAATAATACTAATAATAAATGTTAACAACAAAATGCCTAAAGTTGTATACTATTATAAAATTGTTAAACTTTACTTGTTAATCAATTTATTCATTCTACGCTGTAATATTCTTTATTTTATTAAAAATATTTTAAAAACCAATTCGGAAATGTTTATATATAGCAGCCTCGGTAGAACATGACACAACTACAATAATTGAAATTTTACAGGAGAACCAAAAAACCAAATTATTTTTCACTAAAATGTAAATAATTCATGAATGCACAATTCATCTAAACACATTGAAGCATTTAGTCCATTTTACAAAATTTTGCAGTTGTGTCATTGTTCTCCTGGGGCGGCGATATGTAATTAAACAAACAACATATTATCTTTTGTTAATTTTAATTTTGAAACAATTAGTTACTTTTATTAAACATAATCAAATTACCTTTGTTCACCAGTCTTTTCCTGAAAAAGAAATATACATTATTAAAATCATTAAAAAAAACTATGATATAACAATGATAATGTTTTATTATTACTTACTTTTTATTTGACACAGGTGTCTTAGTAGCTTTGCATTTGCGTTGTGGTCTAAATCCCGACTGAGTGAGCTAAATTATTAAACAAAATATAAATATATTATTATTTTTATTATATTTTATTTCTATAAACATAATACTGGTCTTCACCATAAGATCTAGCGCAAATAGTGTTTTTATTGATTAATAAATTAAATGTTAAACAATTTAAATAGCGTTACCTCGTTTTCTTTGCCTTCTCTTTCAATTACATGGTCTAAAGGCTGTAATGTTAAAAAATATATACAACTTAACTATAAAATATTATATTTAAAATAAAAAATAAAATTACCATATGCAAATTGCTAATATCAGTCAACACAGCAATACTTTTCATTTCAGGTTTAGTTGCTTTTAAATTAAGTTCACTCAACACTTCGTTGGTACTTTGTAGCTCCTGACATTTATTTTGATATTCCCTATAAAAATAAATACAAGTTAGTAAATATAATTGTAATTTTTTTTATTTTAAAATGTTTCAGAAATTACTTGATTTTTTTTTCAAGCTCAATATTGGTTTCTTGTAGCTTAGAAATACTACCTTCTTGGTCTGTAAACAATTTTTTTCAAATTTAGTAACAATTAAATGTAAATTATTAAAATAAAATTAATATATACCAGGCAGCACTTGGGAAGAAATATTTGAATCCATGGAAAAATTAGTCATGTTTGTATTTTTCAACTAAAATAATATAAAATATTTTATGGTAAAAAAAACTATACGCAGACAATTTTAGAACAGGTTTCATCATATTGAACTCACCACAATTTTGTAATTATTCCTCAATAATTGATACTTTTTTGCTATCGCTATTTGATCTTCGCGAGCTTTTTGACACTTTGTTCTTAGTCTTGTATTTTCTTCAGTCAATGTTTTTATTTCTGTTTTAAGGTTGGCTATAATTTCGTTTAACTCACTAGTTTTTACAACATATTCTTCTATGTATGGGTATAGCTTTTGTTCCACCTAAAAATGTTATGTTATAAATTATATAAATTTTTTTTTAATAACTGAATTATTAAGTAAATTCTAAATTAAAACATATAATATAAATGTTATACAAAGGTTTATTATAAGACATAATGAAGTTTTAAATAGTTTATTAATAATTATGAATTATAAATGACAAAAACTATTTAAAATAACTCACGAGTTCATCTTGATTTTCCTCCATCTCAAATATTATGTTATCTTTTGCAAATACTGCTCCGTTAAGCCGTTCAATTTCTAAATCCTGAAAACATAATGAATTCTAAAATACAATATTCTTTAAAACATAGAATTTGCTATAATTTATAATACCTTATCTTCCAATTCTTGTGCTAACTCATCATATCTATCATTGAAATCTTTAAGGGCAACTTCCAATTTTTCATATTCCGTATTTGCTTCTATTAACATACCTTTATACATCTATAACAACAACAAATTATATTATACAACTAATTACTGCTGTTAGAAGTAATGTACATACTTCAATTTCTTCATTTTTAACTTTTACATTTTCTTGAGACAATTGTTGTTGGTTTTTCAGAGTCTACAAACAAAAAATTAAAATGTTATCGCAATAAAAACAATTGTTTTTAAAAAATAAGGTAAGGTTTTTAAGATTATTAGTTATCTACTTTTATTTCAGTAATCAATTCTTCTTTTTGAAGCTCAAGTTCGCCGATTCTAAACTCGAAATTTTCCATTTCACTTTTATTGTTAATTAGCTCTTGGGTTTCTATTAAAGGACGGTTATATCCATTTTTGTTCTGAAACAATTGTTTTTTATTGTTTTTAAAAAAATGTATAAAATATATATAGGTGGAGTTCACCTAACCATCCTCATTTCACATTAATACTAATACTACTTTAACTTGCTTACTGCTAATTTATCGTCTCTTTCACGAATTTCATCCAAATAAAATTCTTTTAAACGTTTTATTTTATTTTCATACATTTCAGTTTTGTTCTTCAACATATTTTCTCTTTGTTTTCTATAAACAAAAACAAAATCTTTTATAAATTTTCTTGATGCTACCCACATTTAAAAAGGAGTTAAGTGTAGGCAATTGCAAATTCCTTATTTAGAGCTTATAATATACTGTATACTTAATAAAATAGTAATACAAATTTATTACTGTACAAAAATTCATAACTTAATTTTTATCAGTCATTTTTATGGACAAAATTAAAATTATTTCCCATCATAATAGATTTGTACGAATCAAAACCTAAGTATCTTGGAATTGTTGTAAAATCACCAAATTTTCAGAGTAACTAGAGAAAAACATTATCTGATTTCAAATTTTCAATTACTTAATTCAATAATTTTTAAAAATTTATTGAAAAATACAAAAAACAACTTTAAACATACACAGAAAAAAAAAATTCTATCTATCAAAAAATTGTCACGCTTAAGCACATATAATAATCTTCTCTATTGTTCTATGAAAATTTGGTGATTCTAGTAGTACCACAGCTTCTACAGTATTGATTCATGTGAAGCGTCCTTCTAAAATTAACATTTTTAACATTTGTTATGTGACTTACTGACAAAATGTATTATTATCTTCTAACATTTTTTGAAACTGTCCAACCAGTTCTTTTCGTAATTTGGCTTTTTCCTCATTTAATACAGTTTCAAAATCTTCATACAACTACAAGCCATAAAGAAAAATAATGTTATATACATTAATAAAATATATACACAGACACACAAGGTGATACTGATGTAAGACACTTATTTCCTTGAAAATATGTATATTTTGATAACTATTTTTTTCCTATACTTGTAGATCCATATTTTACTATATTTTTTAATACTTTGAAAATTTGTATCTTCATCCCTTATACGTAAATCAAATATGGACCTCAATTTTTTTAATAGGAACATTTGTTTTTAATTATACTAAGATGTAGACAAACAATTTTAGCGTTTTTCAAAGCAAATGAATAGGCTGATGAAAATAAAAAATTCAAACGCTATTATAATTCAAAACTTTTAGTCTACATATTAATGGAACTACAAACACATGTTCCCATTTGAATAAACAAAGTCCATACTTCTTTAGCGCATTAGGAATGAAGGTGAAAATATTCTGAGTATTGAAAAATATTCATATTTTCCGAGAAAATGGGTGTCTTACTTCGATGTATCACCTGTATGTACATATATATATATGTACACCGTAAAATAATTTAATTATATTTATTTTTAGACATACCATAGATTTTTTTTCTAAGGCTGAGTTATCCTCTTCATCTTCATTAATAATATCTAAACGATAAAATAATTTTTAAAAAAAAATCATGTTTTTGAAATTTATAAGTATATATTACTGTTTTCTCCTTTAGCACTAGTCAAACTCTTGCGGTTGTTAGTAACCCATACAGCAAAACTGGGCCTAGGTTTGACTTTTGGTTTTGTTTTAGCAATAGAGCGTACAATGGCCGACATCGTCAAAACTTGTTTTGTTTCTTCCAACAAACTTGGAGACGTATCAACGTTTACGGTCATTGAAATACCTGTCTTGTTTGTTCCGGTTAAAGCCGTCTGAAACATCTGCGTTAGTTTGGATTCTCTGTATGGAACAAGATGATTTTCTCCACGCTTTTGGTTCTCTCTGCAAAAGTTATAATATACATTATAAAATATCACAAATTATTATTTTTAAAAATACTTACCGCAACACAGAGAAACACTTGTTGAGTACAAGTAATGATGTGTTTATATTTTTGGATTCTTTAAGTCTATCACCAATATTCAGAGTCTTTTTAAGACGCTCAGATCCGGCCAAATCGCAAAACGATATGCTAGGAAAATAAATATGCACACACATATTACATTCTTTGTACTTATATTAATTCAATTTGTTTAATAATATTTAATAATAAGTATTAAATTCTAAAATTAGAATAAGTACCTGCTTATTACAGCTGTTTTAGGATCTACAACATTTTCTACTCTCATTAATTTCAAAGTAAAAATACAATGAGATCTACTTGAAAGTTTGTTCAAGTTATTGCTAGCAATTTTTAAATTATTTTTACCAAAAGACATAACCTTGTATGCTTCTTCGGCAGATTTAATATAAATGTGTGTCAGATCTGAAAACGGAAATAGTGTGTAAAAATAATATTTAAAACTTTATAAAAACACAATAAGCTAATAAGGAGTTGCATAAAATGTAATATATAATTTTAATAAAAATAAGTTTTCCTTAAATCTTGTTATAAAAAATTCATTTTTGACCCAAATTTGATTTTAATAAGCTGTTGGTTTTTTAAAAAATGTTGTATTGCCTCAGTTTAAATCTGCTGTACTTTTTAAGGCAATCATCATGTAGTAGACATCTTAAAGTAAATAGCAAGAAACATTGGATAGTACGCAAAACTTTGTGTAAAAAAGAGCTTTACTTTTTGTGATATTAGAAAATAGTATATCGCTGAAAAATATATTAAATTTTTTATCGATTAACACGAATCTTTCTTTTTTGTTTATTGTTTGTCGATAATAAATGTAGGTTTATTTTTATGCAGCTTCCCATTAATTGATTGATGCATAAAAACCCAATACCTCTGACATATACATTTTTGTTTTGATCATGTGAAAGTTTTAACGGTATTCGCTTTTGGTTAATTGTGTGACTGACCAAAAGATCATAAATAGCTTCATTATATATTTCTGCATAGGTCACCCAAACTGTGTATAACACATCACCGTGATTCAAAACCGCCTTTTCGTCACTCTTCAACACATCAAACATTTTGGTAATATTGATATTAGACAGTTGATCAAGACTTTGCATCGATTGGACATCATCATTCTGTGACACGCTGGTGCACTGAAAACAATAATAAATACAATTAAAAAAAAAAAACTATAAGCATACTCTTACAATGATAGAGTTTTTTATTTAATAAAATAGTAAACATATACTTGAGTCTTGTCAAATGCCCAATTTGTTAAAATGTTTTTTCGCATGTTTTCTTCAATTTCCATAAGATTTTCATCTAAAATATGAGCTGCTATAACTTTATCAGGCTTGTATTTACATGTAGGCATAAGTTTGTCATTCAAAGTACTAAACACTAACTGTAAAGTTCTTGGAATAAGGCCAGGATCGTTATGAGTTCCTACAAAGTAAAAATAACATACATCGTTATTGTTTATAACTAAAAATATATTTAGTTTGAATATGAATTTACCGTGAATGGTAAATGTTTTTCCAGCATTTGTCGTTCCGTATGCAAACAAAAGTTCATTATTTCCATTTAAAAATCTTAACACTTTATCGTACACCCAATTGTCAAAAAATTTCTTTTGATCCACATTTGGTCCAAAGATACTTGAGAATGTATACCTTTTAAAAATACATAAACAGTTAATACTTGTAATAATTAATTTACACTAAATTATAACAATTTATACATACTCTGTAACATCTTCTCGTGCATTTCCATTGTTGACAGCAACTGTAGTATCACTCAAGATTGTAAGTGTATTATCCTGGAAATTACATAATTTTAAAAATGTTAATATTTAGTTATAGGATCAATAATAAATACAAATAATATAATCTTACATTAAGTAATTTGTTAACTGTACGTGGTTTAATACGAAGGCAGACATCAATTTTCGGAATTCCACTATTATCATTGCTTCGCTCCATAGAATAATCCAAAACTTTCTTAGGTTTACCAATCAACTTTCTTTGCCCAAAACCGGTTATGCTAGGAATTCTTGGTTCAACATAAGAACCGGTTGAGTGATGTTCTTTTGAATCATCCATTGTGTGTGTTTAAATCTAAATTTATAATATTCACATTTTAAACATTCTAAAAAATAACTAAATAAATAGCTAAAAAATGCTGTTGAATTAACAATAAACATATTTTTTTTTTACTGACAGATTAACATGTTTGATTTTGATTGATGAAAAATAACAAGTTAATATTACGGCCCACAAATTTTATTTTTTTGTTTTCCAACTAAGATTAAAGCAGAGCATAAACTTGATTACGTTAAAATAACTTAAGATAGAGAGCAGCCCTACACCATTCTGACAAGGTACTTAATGCCTCTTAATCACACACATTTTCCTTAAGAACTCTGTCACACTGCTTTGCCCAACCGACTTAGCCAATGCTCAGCTTAAATTATATCAGTCTTCTTTGGAACATCTTACGTAATTGTTCTGTATGGTACGTTGATATAATACAATATTACAAATGAAGAACTGCGAGGAAAAACAATCATAACCACAAGCCAATTTTTTTTCTAAAATTTAGATTATTTTGTAATTAAATTTATCAATAAAGAACAATTTTATTTTAAGTGCGTTATCTTATTCTGAATCTCAGAGTCTTTTTTGAGTTCTGAAACTTTAAAACTGCAATACTGAAAACTTTAGGTATAATGACTATGATTGTTTTTTCCCGCAGACCTTCAATTCTAAAATCATTCAATACATAAGTAAAATGTATACTTAAAAATAAGATTCGCGGTAACCACCACGTATTACGCCAACAAATCGGTTAAAACAAGCACACGAATTAAACTCGCATTCCTTTATACTTCATGGAGAACTTATTAAAATAAGATAAAAATGTAAACAACCAATTGTTAAAAAAAACTTAGAAACCTTAAAATACAGTACCTGTTGTTGTTAGACGTTGTCGACGACCGAAATAAAATACAAGAACAATTATTATAGATGCCGAAAGACGGGCAACGGATAGTGAGTAATGGAAAAACCTTTTTTGCTTTTAAGTCGATTACAACGGACAATAAATGTACATAAGCGATGATTAAAAAGTATAAACAAAGAAACCCGAACTCTAAACAAAAGAAACAAGAATAAGGAATTTATCCATTCTGCAGACACATTAACAAGTCAGTAATCGTAGATTGTCGATTACAATTTATATTTTACACAGTACACTTTATTGTCAACGTAAAACGTACGGACATTTCACGTTAGACAATAAACAACAGTCCGCAGTCGTACACATTTTGTAAATTTTTATAACGGTCAAATTGTCGTAATATTCCCCATGCTCGGGCGACGGACCAATCAGAAATCAGATTAGAACTTGAAAAATCAATCAGTGTGGCCACTTTTTGTAATTCAAATATTGTTACTTGTTACGTTATCTGAAACTCGTCCGCATGATTGTTACGTTTTCCCGCTTAAACTGTGCACTGTCCATTATCAATAAATAAGTACCCACCGTAGTATCATTGATTAAATATACAGTATATTTAATCAATGGTAGTATTAAATCATAGACCTATAAAGAAATCTTTATAGGTCTATGGGACGGATGACTTCACGTTTTATCACTATAGTCGACGCCATGAAAACTGCCGGGTGACCGTCGCGCACCAAGCGGATTTTTTTGCGATAGTGGTTGTCAAACCATTTGCCCCGCTTTTTTAAATATTTGAAAAATTATTCTTTTTTTCTAATTATTCATTTTTTTTAGTTCTGTGTTCATATACACATGAGATATACAATTTTAAATTGTACAATAATGTGCTATTATTCACGGTAAGATGCCTGCGCTGCGGTGGATAGTTGCGGTGAAAGGAAAACCACTGTATATCAAAGTATATGCTAGTATTGGCAATGGCCTCTCCTTATATTATCTACTCTAAGTTGCATCTCTACGACATAGATTAAATACATGTATTGTAAAGGTGAATGCCAATCAAATTTATTTTGTTAAGATACTATATACGTATATATTTATCAATAAAACAATGATGTATTTTGTGAATTGATAATATAACAAAGTGGGGATATATAAACTACCTTGGGTACTACATAAATTATAATTTATTAATAATATTATAACCGATATTACATATTACCTATCATTGATTACTATTTATTATTTTTAACTTGTTTACAGTTTAAACTCAATGATATTAGCATTAAAATAGTATGTCTTAATTACAAATACATTGTAATAAATAATAATATAATGTAGTTATACACCTAAATATTAAAAAAAACTACACTAACGATTAGAATTCAATATGAAATAACCTACATTATTATATTAATATTTATTCTTCTTCTTCTTCTTCTTCGGTTTTTCAGAGGCCATTGAGGCCCATTACCGCAACATAAATTAGCTTCCACCTGTCTCTACCCTGTGCTACTGCTTCCATATCTTGTATTCCAATTTCTTTTAAAGTCTTTTTTACTTTGTCTATCCATCTTTGCTTTGGTCTGCCTAGTGGTCTTTTCCCAAGGGGTTTCCATTTTTACCGCTTTCATTAGGCTATTTGACCTCCATACGTGGCCAGCCCATGCGATTCTTCTATATTGTAATACTGCTACTATGTCCGGTTCTTTGTATAGCTGTTGTAATTCTATGTTGCTTCTATTTTCATATTGTTGTGTGATATTATTTCTTTTTGGCCCATATATTCTTCGTAATATTCGTCTTTCAAAGATTGCTATTTTGTCTTCATCTCCTTTGGTCGTTGGCCATGTTTCACAAGCATATAAAAGAACTGGTCTGATAATTACTTTGTAAAGTGTAATTTTCGATTTGATTGATACTTGCTTTGATTTAAATATGCTCGTTAACCCATAATAGCATTTATTCGCTGCAGTCGTTCTTATATTAATTTCTTCGTGATTATTATTTTTGCTATTTATTGTAACACCCAGATATTTAAAACTATGTACCCTTTCAAACTTAAAATCCTCAACTTCTATATGTTCTCCATGATTTTCTCGTCTTGATATTACCATATATTTAGTCTTTGATTCGTTGATTTGTAATCCGATGTCTTTACTATTTTTTATTAGCTCCTTCGTGCCCATTATTACTTCTTGTTTATTTGATCCTAATATAATAATATCATCTGCATACGCTAAAATTCCGCATTGTCTTATGTTATCATCCAAGTTTAACCCATCATACTTGCTCTTCGTTTTATTTACTACCGTTTCTAGTGCTATATTAAAGAGTACTGGGGATAATGCATCTCCCTGTCGGAGTCCAGTCTTAACTTCAAATTCATCTGACATATGTTGGTTGAATTTAATTTTACATCTCGTTTTATCCATGCATAGTTTAATCATTTTCACTGTTTTGGACGGTATTCCAAAGGTTATGAGTGTATTCCATAGCACTTCTCTATTGACTGAATCATATGCTTGTTTATAGTCAACAAACAATAGATGTAAGTCCCTGTCGAATTCATAATGTTTCTCAACTAGTTGTTTAACCGTGAAAATGTGGTCTATGGTGGATTTTCCTCTCATAAAACCACACTGGTAGTCTCCAATAATGTCTTTTGTATAAGGCGTAATCCTGTTTAATATGATACCTGATAATACTTTATACATTGTGTTCAACAATGATATTCCTCGGTAGTTTTGATAGCTTGAAACATCTCCCTTTTTATAGATTGGACAGATTATTGCTAATTGCCATTCTTTTGGTAATATTTATTATTATGATAATAATTGTAATGTCCGGGTCCGATGCTCCAAACTGACTATTATGATCTATGATCACCATGATAATGTATTTCATGTCTATCAAAATCCTCCTGACTACCATAAAAGCCTTATATTAAAGGCCAGAAGTGCATTTTTTTAGGTAAATTTTGAAATATAAGCGCGAAGGTAGATATATCATTTATAATTATATTATATAACCTTAGATATAGATTAAATGCATAATCTATGAAATAACTTAGAGAAAATTGCAATAAAAATTGTTTTTTGTAGCAATAATAATTGGTAACACAAAGAAAAAAGCGTTACATATATTTTTGGTAAGCAACTTGCCAGTATAAAAACAGTAAAATCTTCAATAAAATATAAGTTTGTAGCAAAAGTTGCCTACACAAAACTCCTAATTATTAAATACAGGTGAAACGTCGATTGTAAGCGAGAGATTTTTAAGGAGTTTTATATAGGCAATACTTTAAAGTAAATTTGCATTAATAGGTCATATTCAAAATTAGTCGTATTATAGCGCTCAGAAATCCTAATGCGACCTGTAAAAACTTGTGTGAACGATTATTTCAGTCAATTGTCACCTCTTAGTTAAGTAGCTTAGTGAAATAATTTAGTACACTTAAGTCATTATTATTGTATTGTACATTTTATGGTTAAAAAATCGTCAGTTTTAAATTACTCAATTTTAACACACGCCAGTTGGCTGGCCCTCGCATAAGTGTTAAATGTTAAACGTCCCAACGACTAATGGTCAATTAGCCTAAAACATCACATGATTTGACGCATGAAGTGTCAAGGATAGGTTAGGTGTTCAATTCCACTACTTTATTTTTTACTTGAGCCCATATAAGGGCGATAGGATTGTACTGGCAATGGTACGGTAGCAAACGCATTGTAATAAGGAAATAGTTTGTGTCCGAGAGTTATAAAGGGATGTCAGGTCATTGACACCAAGTTTCATGACGATGTTTGATAGCGATTCAAACCGAACATTAATAGTACTGAGCAGTGAACTCATAACCGCAATAGAAAATAAAAAATGTTATAATCAACATTACAAATACAAAGTAAATTTATAATTGAGTATTAATTTTGTACATAGAAATAAATAGAAAAAAAAAAAATTAATTAAACTATAACTACAAATAACAGTGCTTGATTTTTAATAAATTTTAATGTTTTCCTTTATAAATACATTTTATGTTACAACTCGTATTTTCAGTCACAAACTATATCATTCGATATAATTTCCATGTCTTCAATTATAACTGTAATGGATATATTAAAAATTATCATCGATCGCAGCAAATGTTTTTAATAGATTATTATTGAAGTTAAAAAATGTATGTTATCATTCAAGTTTTAAAAGTTAATATATTCCTCTAAAATATACATTATTATTATGTAAAATAATCTTATCTAAAAATGTTGTAAGTTCAGAACATATTATAAGTCCAAGATGAGATACAAATCTACAAGTACTACCTAGATCCTAGAGGCTCCAAGTAGTATTTTTTAGTCATATATACAAAAATGTTGCAACTAATATTTAAACACAAAAGTTAGCTTAAACCAAAATTACATTTTGTTATATAGAATGTATGACAAATATCTTACATACGAGACACTGTACATTACTGCCTAAAATATTTTAGTCCCGTTTCCATGAAATCGGCAGTAATAAAACATTTATTATATTTAATCTATTATAACTATGGTAGAAGTAAAAAACCAAACAATTATAGTGATACCAGTTAAATGATTTACGTTAGTATATGTACAATATTTTTCCGATGCTTGAAAATTGTTGTCATTTAGCACACATAGCAACCGGGAAATTAAATTCAGTAAAAGTATAATTGTCTCTATTTTTGTTTTGTATAAATTTATAAAAAAAATAATATATATTAACATTTTTTAGATCTAACTTAAGTCTAATTTTTAGACCTTGAGTTTAGCGGTTTAAAAACTACGCTCAATAAAGTGCACTAAAGAATAATGTTCAACTCTTTCTAGGGGAAACAGTATTTTATATATTTTTGATTTGTCAATGTATATTGATAGTACTATATCTAAAGAATATTCCATACAAATTTGGAACTAAATCAACTATTTTCAAAAAAAGTTGCAGCGTGCCGTAGTTTTCATAGTTAGATTTCCAGGAGAGTAGATTAAGGAGAAAACCCTGGGGTCTAAATTTTAAAAACATCGTACAAATAAATATGAAATTATTACCATAAGTTTAATTACTAGGTTTTCTAACAAGAACCAAAATACATGAGTTTTTCATACTAAATTCTATTCTAGTTTTAGTTTTTCCATAGCACGTCAAGTGCTGTGTTCAAATGAATTTTGAAAATAATTTAGGATTTTAGTTTTAATACAAAACTGAAGTTATTTCATTTTTTTAATGTACAAAATATATAAAAATTCTGATATCAGTTATGAGTTTTAATTGTCCATACAAATATGTTTTGTTTTGTAAAACAACTTAAAAAATAATCGATACTGCACTCATGTTTTAAAGTTCCAAAACTCTTATTTTTATATTTAAATAAAAATTGGTTCTATGAAAACTTTCTTAAGGTCATTTATCATTTTTCATTTTTTTTGATACCAGTGTTAAACTTTGAATAAAAAAGTTTTATTAAAAGAAACAAAGGAATAAAATTATGTTAATTTAAACTTTAGAAACTATTTAACAATTTTCATCCATCCTGTTCTATTATGGTTGTATGTGAACATGTAAATTGTTTACTTTATTTTATTTAGATTAAAATGCTACCACAGCCAGGTTTAATACACTGAATTGCATACTGCTTTCAACATAAGTATTATTATTGTTTTTTTTTAGGTTTCAACTATAAAAAGTCATTAACTAAATACGTTTTTTTTGATTATTCTAAAATTATTTTTTTCAAAATCATTACAAAGTACTTAAAAAAAATCAGTCTATGAAAAGCACAAAACATACATGATTAAAAAAAATAATAACCCGTTAAATTGTTTTTTAAAAATTAGTCTTTGCCGATTTACTGTAGCTAAACATGTATGTTCTGAATAAAGAATGACAGAACACTAAACAGTTTTATTTTTCTCATTGATATGGATGCGAGCATGTATTTTTAAAGTTGAGTCATAAAGAAATGATTTCTGACAAACGTCACATTTAAAAGGTGTTTTCCCAGTGTGTATCTTCCGGTGATTAATGAGGTTAGACAAACAATTGTAGCTTTTAGAACAAATTTCGCATTTGTAGTCTTTCAGGTTTGAGTGTATACGTTGGTGTACTTTTAAATTTGAGTTGTGGGCAAATAATTTCTGGCACGTTTCACATTTATAAGGTTTCTCGTCAGTATGTATACGTTTGTGTATCTTAAGATGCATGTTTTGGGTAAATGACTTATGGCACACACCGCATACATATGGTTTTATTCCGGTGTGAATCTTTCGGTGATTATAAAGATTGGACGAGGAGATGAAACATTTATTACAGAGTTGACATCTGTAAGGTTTCTCGTGAGTGTGAGTACGTTCATGAATCTTGAGAGAAACTTTTTGAGTATATGATTTCTGGCATATGTCACACTTGTATGGTTTTTCTTCACTATGTATATTCTGGTGTTTAGTAAAACTGGATAAACAAGGAAACTTTTTGTAACACACTTTGCATTTTAAAAGGTTCTTGCCAGTATGAAAGCGCTCATGTACTTTGAGGCTGGAGTTTTGAGTAAACGATTTAAAGCATACGTTACAAGTAAACATTTTCACTTTACTATGTACGGTTGTCTGGTGTCTAATGAGATTAGATGAGCGTGAGAAATTTTTAAAACAAATGTTACATTCATGGTTATTCTTACGGCTTCTTTTATAGAGATTATTTTCTGTCGTTGAGTAGCCATTGTGTGATTTTGAAAGGTGATGGATCAATTTCCTTTTAGTAGAAAATGTTTTTTGACATTTATCACAGATAAACAAGTTTCTTTCACCTGCAACATTGTTCAACTGTTCGCCGTCTACCTCTATTTGTGACACGAAATACCAACCATCAATTTCATCGACATCATTTTTCAATTTTGTTACTTTATTCGTTTTGTTTAATCTAAAAAAGTATAATAATAATAATAACAGTATGAAATAGAACAAAATTGTATTTAATAAAAAAAGTATATAATAATAGGTAGTAATAATAATAAGGTTATATTAACTGTCAACAAACCATTATAAACAGTAAAATAAACAATCTATTTTCTCTTTTAGACTAGGCTAGGCCCACTCAAATGTTCGCAAACTGCCAAAAAATACGAGCAAAAATGTCTGGTGTTTTTAGGATTGAAAAATCAGAGCATAAAAAAAAAATTTGGTATATATTTCATAAACATTTAGAATAGAAGTACAAAATAAGCAGTATTATCTTTTTAGAAGAAAATTTTACAATTTTTGGTCTCAAAATTGAAGTACAATCAACATAAAATACACAAAAAAAAACAAAAAATAATGACTTCTCATAGTTATTAGATTACTCATTTTACTCAATTTTTTTTTGCTTAAGAAATAAAAACTCTTACAGTCTATGTGGGGCTTTGATTTTGAAAATTTAAATTGAATATGTCGCAATAAGAGTTTCAATACGACCATTTTTTAAACGTTTTCCGTTGTTTTTCTTTATTTTTGTAATGTAATCAAAAGTTGTAGCCTTAAGGGGACTGTAAAAAGTTTTTCTCTATTAAACAAATAAAACATTAGTAAAATCTAATTACACTATATAAAAAGTCATCACTTTTTTAGTAAAGTTGTTGATCACCACCAAAATTCCTATAACTCTGGTAAAAAAAAGGTTGAAAACATATTGTACTTAATAGGTAATAGGTACAGATAAAGTTAAAAATAAGTTGACATAATTAAAAATTGCCTATAATTTGGAAATTTGCAATTTTCAGCATCGAAGGTTAAGTGATCATTAACCACAATATGTTATATGGTAACAAATAAAAAAAGCACTAAATTGTATTGTAATTTTAAAGAAAATTTCAATTACTACCCTAATTTTTTGTTAGTATTTTTTTTTATAGCACCAATAAGATTTGTTCATATTTTATAAATAATAAATTAACATTTGGCCTATTCCAAATAGCTTATAAAAGAAAATCAATTATAATTGTACTGTTTATTTGTACTTAATATTCATGGTCAATGTTAAACAGCCAAATTTTTTATTAATCTCTGCAGTTTCCGAGTTCCAAATCAATAATATTCATCCAGGTGAGCAAAAAAAGTTACGCACAATTTTATGAATGAGATGGTGAACTACGCCTGCGTGCCCGGATGAAGGTTAAAACAATAACACTAGGTAGAATTTGGCAAAATTAAAATGAAAGAATTTATTTGAAGAGCTATAGGCCTTAATATATTATTAACTAGTAGAGCATGTTATAGGTACCTTAAAGGTTTAACCTTTTCATCTGATATTTACCTTTATTGAATGCAAATCGCTAATTGCCAAGTTGCCGATTTTTAAATTTGTTATCAATAGATAATTTTTATAGATATTTTTTAATCAATTTAGTTTAAAAACATAAACTTACCTGTCTGAGTTTTTGTGAAATTTCGCTGTATGTTGGACAACTTGTCTACTGGTAGCGAATGACTTTTTACATAATTTGCACTCGAATTTTCCCACGACTCGCTGCTTTGGTTGTACTTCCAACAACTTGTTATTCTGTTGTTCTACCTCTATAAGACTCTCGTAGTAGAAATAATCATCAATTTCATCAATTTCAACTTTAATACACATTTGATCGTCTAATTGAATACTCTCCGTATCGTTCATTTTTCGTATACTATTAAAATATTATCATAAAAAAATTAAAAACTGATGCTGAGTATAAGTCACGTGTAAAACGTAAATAATTTTTTAGAAAATGTGTTCTATTAAAAAAGATCCGCAATAATAAGTTTAAACAACATTTTAATGAATACGGTTGAGAGCCGAGCGGAATCAAAACTGATTATCGAACAACAATAACAATACAACAATGATATTATATTTTGCTTTTAGCGCAGCTGCAGAGCATGCTGGCGGTTCCGCTATATAGTATTGATTGAATTTGGGACGCTGTAAAAAAACGCGGCAGCCGGCAAATAAGTAGTCCTCAGTACTGTGATAAACAAACAGTTTTATCACAACATTATCTGTGGTTTTATTACTTTTAAGTTTTATCACAAAATATATCTCTGCATCTCAGAGTAATAATGATACTGCATCAACATCTGTGACCTGACTCAAACTACATTAATAAAATATAGAAAATACTAATGTATGATGACTGTCTTAGAACATCTTTTACCTTTTTTTTTCTAGTGTCATAATTATTCATAATGTTATAAATAAATAACTAAATAATCTGTACATAACGAGATCTTAAATCTCTAATCGTACCGCCGTTTTTTATTAGCTATCTAGTATCTACAATTATATAGTTCCTGCAGAACTAAAATACGGTTGTATTATAATTTTATAGAATTCTACTGTTTATTGTAAGATTACAACGATTAATGCCCTTTTACCCACGGACTATAAATTATTGCCTATACTATAGACTAATTACAATTATAATATAGCACTGGTAACAGATAGGCCGGAAGAGTGCGGGGTCTGGCGCGATTGTACATCGGTTCCATTGATAAGAATGGAGTTTTCAGTCCTGCATATAATCTGTGTTCGGTGCTCTTATCCATGATTGAAATATACAAGGTTATTGCACAAAAGTATTTAATTTAATAATTAAAATCAAATATGGTAGCATAACGAGCAGCCAATCAAAATCAAGTATATAAGTACACGGTAAAATATATATAGTAAAATTGATATCCCGTTACGCTGTCATTTTATTTAAGATAATAATTCAAGAAGATTATTAACATTTATTTACTAAAAGCTACACGAGGGGTGGGTGTTCAATGAGATCAGGTTTCAGCGTCACCGTCCGCCTAGAGACTTTTTCATTGTGCTGGAAAATGGAAATTTACATTTGCGATTGTACAATAAATTTTAATATCCAAATGATAATCTCTCTGTTATTCATTTGTTTGAACGCTTTTCTAGCAATTAGCGTAATCAGAAAATATTTCTAATATAAAACTTGATAAAAGGGAGGAAAATCGATATTGTCTACGCTTGGAAGCGTGAGCAAACTATTATAAAACGGCCATACGGGCATAGATCCGCTCGCGTGAGAGGGGTCGTTTACTGCCAAAAGGCAGGTGGTCTTTACTCTTTTGTTAGAATTTCATAATGGAAAGTAACGACAGCTGCTGGCCCCAACCCCTACGGATGTTGTGTGTAGGTTCCTATTTTTTTGTATTGAAATCCTATATCCTACAGCTTTAACGCATGCGCGTATATAAAAACGCACATTGAAGAGAAGCCATACATATAGGGTTGGGTGTACCGTGTATGCCAACAATCGTTTACCTTGAACTCAAATTTAAAGGTACACGAGTGTCGAGTGATGAACGAAAATTAGGTACCTACATTAACTAGAAGACCCACAAAACAAATATTAAATTTGTTTAAAAGATTTCACTCGGTAGATACTTTGACCTTAGTTTAAATATTCCAGGAAAGAAATCATGTACACAAATGCGTTGTGTACTAGAACCATTTGAATGAAATACATGTGGCATTCGTTGGAAATAAATAGTGACTTAGAAAAATAAATAAAGCGAATGATACGACCCAAATTAATACCGATACCGCTATTATTATTATTTTATCACTCATGTGTTTACCGAAAAATAAGATTTTCAAATAATTGCAGCATTTAATAATATTTATAACACATTTTTCATTGCATATATACTATTACTATTTATTGCGTCGTTAACAAAATGTAATTGTATTGAAAGGTTTTTATTATTGATTATGATATATTATTTACTACAATTTATTAATAAACATGTTTCGGAGTAGGTTAAAGCCTCTTAACATTTTTAATAGAATTAAACAAAAATCTGGATCGCTTGGTTTGATATGAGAAATAAATGTATTTTGGTTTACTATGTAATATAATGCGTTTCAACGGACAGCTACTCACATCGCGTCGCAGCTCCAGTATTTTAAATCAACCAACAAAGACTTTTAATATAATGGACTAATAAACAATAATATCCCTTGTAATTTGGATTGCCAGATTATCTAGAGATCGTCGATCGTCACCGTTTTATGACCATCCAAGAGCTGATCACGGAATAAATTTAACCTATTCTATCCTATTATAAGCTGTCATATCAATTACATATTTTGTTAACGATTATTCGTAATGTCAGACGCCAAAACGAAAAAAAAATCGGCCATATTTCAAACAGTTGCAACATTTTATTTTAATTTAATATTATACATCAATATTATTTGATACATTAATCGTTTCTCACTTGGTTCATCTACTTAGTTTTTAATAAGTCGCTTGTTTTATATTTTTTCCGTGTTAATGAACGCGCATTTTATTTCAAATTATTTGAACAATTTCAAGGTAGTTTATCCACTTTGACCACAGCCTTTGTATAGTTATCACTCTTATCGTTATCACTATGATTCCTTATAGCCAGTAGCTGGCCTGCTGCTGTACATCTCAGTTACGAGATTTGATATGGGTATCCGTTTTACCTTATAGGTATAACAATCTATGATGTTATTCGGTTACCTGTACAAGGTCCGTGGTCGAAACGGACCTATTATCTATAGAAACGCAGCTGTTGTTGTACCGGTACGTCGTGCATTATTAGCGGGATTGTTTGAATTATTCTGCAGTAGGTTGTCCGGTCTTAATGGTCCTTAGCCGTCATGGAAAAAACGTTTTGAATTTAACGGCCGTGTTAACTGTATACAAAACGTAGTTCGTCAAGCGCCCGCCGTTGCCGTTGTCGCCAGTCATTTGAGCGTTGTGTTGCCAAATGCCAAACTTGCTATCGATTATTAGACCCGAGAGACGAGACCGGCCGCGCCCGCGTGTGTGCTGTACTGTGTTTACTGTATAGTATGTATAGCTATTACCGACTAATTTATTGTAATTGTGTTGTTTCCTGTCGATTTAATTATCAAATGTTTTTGTGGTGATTGGTGATTATTAATTCTTATCGTGCACCGCTTTGGATTGTACGCGATAATAAAAACTTGCAGGTATGTTTAAGAAATTAATAAATCGAATCATTTTAAAGAGAACGTGTGTTAACACCTTGTATGATTAAAGAACATTGCCTTCTACTTAGTAACTTTTGTGGTATTACAAAATAATCTTATGGAAAACGAGAAAAGATTACTTAGCTTAAGCAAGCCGATAATATCGTTAATGTAAATCGTTTCGGATTAGAATCTGTCTACCTAGAATAAAAAAAAAAACACTCATGGTACGGCTTCAAAAATTTTGATTATTACACTATTATAATTTGGATACAAATTAAAATTACTTATTTCTGTGATGTTGAAATATGAATTATAACTTTTTATTATGACAATTTTCCTTATTAATGGTATACATTTACTTAACCTGGCCTTCCCCTTTTTTGTAAGATTTTGTTTTATAAAATTACAGTGTTTTTAATGTAGTTTACTTATTATTTTTTGTTAGTTTGATTCGTAATCATTAAAAAAATATTATATAAAAATAAAAAATAGAAATTAAATTCCAAAATAATAATTGGTTTGAATATTAAAAAATAAATGGGAATAAATCAACTTTACTACCACAGATCCAAATTTCGATTTTTTTTTCAACTGAAAATGATGGTGCAATAACAAAGTTGTGGAAACGCTTAGTTTTTAAGTTACAGCTACTTGAACTTAGAGAATTATCGTTGCGGAGACGACCGTGGCGCGGCGTCTACAGCCCGCCGCGGATGCAGGCTCTAGAAGCCGTGTCACGTGCCCGGCACTAAATAAAAAAAGTAACCAATCCACTTGTAAAAAAAATGCTAATGCAATTGATTTTTTCAATTTAGTTTTAATTAAAAAAAACTTAAAACTATAATATAAAGCAACTCGAGCCCCTACGTGACTCTTCGTTGGATGAGGGCTCACGCCCCCAAACCCCCTGAGGTAAAAATAGTTCACCTAATGGGAATAAAAAATCCTAACTTGATACTTCTCTGGAAGCTGTCAGTGACCTAATGAGTCCAAATCTAACTTAACCTAACTAACCATAGTAGTTAATCGATAATGAATTTTTAGCAAAACTATGGGTTGCTTTTTTATTGCATAAATTACCAATGTCTATGACGAGTTTCCTATCTTTCCTGGGCGGAATTCAAACTGATAGGACTGTCTCTGAGTGTTTTGGCACTAGCTAGCCTCGCTCCGCTAAACTAAAAATATCCTAGGTTTGCAGGCTACAGTCTAGGAGGAGGTTACAGGTTTAAAATGAAGTTTAAGTAAAGTTTTTTTGAAAAGTTAAAAAGACTTGATAAGAAACTGGTCATTGTAAAAAAGTGTACAATGGAAATTTGTGTCTTTGGTAAAAGTGATGTTTTCTCACAAACTACTGTGTTCTTCAATCGCGATTCATGTTGACTGCTGCATGATGGTGGCTACAGCGCGGGTGCCGTGGTCGTCTTACACAACGATAATTCTCTAAGTTTAAGTAGCTATAACTTAAAAACTAGGCGTTTCTGCAAGTTTTTGTTTGCACCATCGTTTTCAGCTTGGAAAAAAAATCGAAAAAATTGAAATTCATGTCTGGGTTGGTAAAGTTAATTTAAGCCAATAAATGTAAACAACATAAAATAAAATTGGATAAATAAATAGAACAATGTATCTAAGGCATCAAGCTGAGGCGCTACTACCTATGGCCATCAGTTTCAATAAAAAATTTAGAGGAGTTCTAGAAGCACTTCAGCATGCCTAAAAATCCAAGTTTTTTTTTCTATTATTTTAAATTAAATTATTTAACTAAATATTTTTGTTTAATTTGGTTCATTATTACTATAAAGTCACAAACAAAATTTTATTTGTATGATAATTTATTGGATAGTTTATTTTTTAATTTGTGTAACTGATTTATACTTAAATTATATAAAAAATTTAAAGTAAAGAAGTAAAATACAGTGCCGCTTATACTTTTTTTTGATGAGAAGATGACCTCTTACTTTATTTATGTGCATCTAAACTAAAATGTATCTTAGAGAGGAATAGCAACTGCACCACTGATTGCTCGCCCAGCAAACAGAGCGCCTATAACCGAGTGTCGACCAGCGACAGTGAGCGTTAACACGCTGCCGCCTAACCCACTCGGCCACTCCTTTTCCACTGTCCTCCAAAATTTTGATAGGATTAGGTCTAAAATACCACCAAAATGGCGTTTACTCATTAAAAAATTGTATAAGTTAAAAAATAATCTTTTGAAGCTTATACAAATTATTTTGTAAATAAATTGACAAAGTCAAAATGTATTAAATCATTTTCCCTTAAATATTGCTTCTATAAAAGTCCTCAAAAGCCATCCGCTTTCAATCTCTTTAATCAATTATTTAATGGTTTTACTTCACAAACATCTTCGATTTTCTTATATTGTATAAATACTACACATTTTTATCATTTGTGTTTGTGTTAAAGCTTTTCTGGATTGAAATATTAATTTGATAATTAACTGATTTATCTATGTTTACAGTTTTTTGCTGATATTTCAGACCTATCGTTGAGTCTATTTTCAGAGCGATAGTCACTGTTCCATTGTGGTGATTATAGTCGTGACAGTAGAACAGTGACTTTTGCTTTAAAGATGAATGGGTCTGAAACGTCAGTAAAAAACATAAGACATGGGTGAATCTGAAAATTATCAAATGACTTAATATATTTTATTTTTATTAATTTTTCATTAAATACTTTTAGCTGACACTGTACAGATTAATGACTATTTCTGGGTATTAGTTTTATCACACTACTATTCTGCTTTCCAAAAAAGAACATACCGGGTGGTGACCGGTTTACGTTCGGCAGCGCGCATAACCCGCCTAGCATCTTCCACCGCTACGTGCTTCGGTTAGATTGGTATCTCGGACGGCGACCGTCAAGTACTATCGGCACAACATTTCAGCAAGAGTAGGAGAAATTTGCTACTTGGTGGTCCTAATACCTATAGGAGATAAAAGCCCCTTCAACCACAGAAATTAAATTAAACAATAAATAAATATATTTATAATTATTATAAATAATTATAATGATAAATACATTTAATTATGATGCTAGAATCTCATAATAATAATAAAAAAAAAAACAGATGTTATGTTTCACTACTTGAAAATGTATTAAAAACTATAAAATAGAATATGTATAATATTGTATACCTAAAATTTAACTTTTGAGCCTTATTTTGAGTGAACTTGTTAATGATTTCTTTTAATTTTAATAGAAATAATTGATAAAAACCACTCAGACATTATTCTGCCACTATCATACTATAGTCTCTAGAGTAAAAATCATAAAGCTTAATAAATATGATAAGGTAATAACTACGATTCACGACCATTAATAATCCTAATAATAATATTACTAATATATACTTCCAGTCGTCGCTAGTTATCTTGACACGATGGTAACACAACTACTATAACATTACCTACCATCGTCAGGCATAAGCGGTTGCCGATAAGCCCTGATAATTCTTATAATTTTTATAATTCAACATCTGGCAACAATCAACTGAAAAATTGAAAAAATACAGATTAATTTTAGATTTCATCAAATTATTTTCAACATACATATTATTATAATTATTTAAAAAAAAAATTTTCATTGTAAAATTTTTTGATTTCATGATTTTAAAAGTCTTGTGGTCTACCTACTTCTTCATACTTTAAAAGGGGGGGATGGACTAATATATATGCCACTAACTACTACCAACACATTGTGAAAAGTATTACTAAAACCAAAACTATTGTTGCAACTAACAAGCATTTAAAATTTGTGATTATGGAATTTGTTAATTTTTAAGTAGGTATTCCTTATAATCTTATATCCCTACAGACATAATTCTTTAAACTAGAAAATTTGGGCAAGAAATCTTGCCCAAATGTATCCACTCTGTGATTCTAAATTATACTATATAATTTTGCACTGATAATTTGTTTGTACTTATACATTTTCCCTCCTCTTCCTTTTTAAAAATAATTTTGATGGGTTATTAGTATTATAAAACAAATTTTATAACATAACGATAATAACTGTTAAGTAGTAAAAAACACCAGTTATTGATGAAATTTTATTACCTACTTATTGTTGTTTATAATTATATATAGCGTATCTATTAAATTGAGCTAATTTAATATTATTTTATTTAACAGAATGAATGATAATGAAAGTATTGAGGTGGATGAAAATAATTGTATCAAAGTTGAAGTGGATGAAGTTGATGATTATTTTTACATTGAAAGCCTTATAGAAGTGGAAGAAGAAGAAAATGGGTTATTGGATGTGGAACCAATAGAAGAAAACAATGTAAATAAAACACTTTTATATGACTGCAATATTTGTCAAAAGGCATTTGCTACCAAAAATCAAATCGCACATCATATGAAAGGATTTCACCCTGAGAATGTCCAAACAGGGCTTGATGAAAGTTCAGATAAGTAAGTAAAACTGTTATTTATAATTATTATATGTACAGGATGTAATGTAAAGTTCTACCCAGGTTCAAATGAGACATTCAGGATGCTCTATGGGTATAATAAATGGTATTCATTTTTTTTATATTTAAAAATTATTTAAAATAGAACTCGTATCTCATTAAAAAATTGTCTTACGAAAAAAATAATTTCAGATTAGAAATCGGGAGAAAAAATCTTGTTGAATTGATATGTAACATTGATTTTTTAGTATCTGGCCACACATACGTCCACAGGGTGGCCGACATGTGACTAAAACCAACATATGGCATGCGACACATAATTTAATATAAAACAATTCTAAGAACACCACAGAATTTAGAATAAAATTCTAACTCAAAATGATGTGTCACACGTCATATGTTGGTTTTGGTCACATGCCGGACAGTTTTTTACTGAGATACGAGTTATATATATGTATATAGTGAGTGTCAAACAACATTTGTTTTACCCCCAACCCCTAATCGATAGTATCCTATTCAAATAAGAAATTCCTAGCTTAATTCAGTGAAACTTCTATTTAACTTATATTTTAGTGAAACCATTAGTAGAGGTTGATTATTTGTAAATGACCGCTATATGGAGTAGGTAAATTAAAAAAAAATTCCATATTATAAAGTAAAATTTAAAAAATATTATATTTATTAAATTGTGTAAACTTATGTACAATTAGGTGTTTAAAAAAATTGTTGTATATTAAAATTAAATTTTTTTTGTAATTTTCTTTGTATTTCCTCATAAATTTGTTTTTAAAATTGATAAGCTTGGAAAATTTTAAAATTAAAAACTAGTAAACTAATAAAAAATGTTTATTATTTATTAAGCCAGTACAGTGGGGGTCGAGACATAGTGGGGATTGTTATGTTACAGCCCACACTAGATCTACCTTTTCTCTAATTTTCAGACCTTATATCCTAAAAGTTTGCCGGAAAAAGCGAAATAAAACAAAAGTTTCCATCCCTTCTAGGTGAAAGAGTTTATTATATTTTTTTGGGTTTGTCAAAGTTTATCGGTGGTACTATATATATATATAAATAATATTCCATACAAATTTGGAACTAATTCTATAATTTTTAAAAAAGTTATATAGCGCCATAATTAGTTGAAAATTATGTAATTTGTTAGGGCGTTTTTCTAGATTTTGAATGGGAAGGGGTGCACTTTTTAAATTTTTTAACCCAATAAAGTATATTGCAAGTTGCAACATATGATGCTAGTCTTCAAATTTATTTGATTTACCAATATAGACTTAAAGTTAGCAATACAATGTTCTATCAAATTTTAGCTCATAATTTCATTAATTAAAATATGCATTGTTTTTTTTAGGATGAGCAAAATTCTGTTAGAGGAAGATGAAATAAAAACGGAAGTGGATGAAATTGATGGGTGGTATTTCACGTCACAGATTCATGTTGAGAACACAGAGCTGGATGACACTGTCAACGAAGAAGAATCATTTATATGCAATGTGTGTAATAAATCATTTCCCACTAAAAAGAAAATGGTACATCACTTGAAAAAAACACACAATAATTTTTATTCAACATCAAAGAACTGTCTCCCAAAAAAATATCATAAAAATCATCAAGTGTTCATACACAATGGTAGGAAATATTACCAATGTGATGTTTGCGAGAAACGTTTCAGTTGCTCGTCTAATCTCAATCAACATCGAAAGGTTCATAGTGGAGAGAAACCCTATGTATGTGGCACATGTCATAAACCGTTTGCCCAGAGCTCTTGTCTCAAAGTACATGAGCGTATGCACAGTGGAGTGAAACCATTTGCATGCAGTATTTGCGATAAAACATTTAATCAGAATATAGAGCTGAAGGTTCATGAACGAATGCATACAGGCGAAAAACCGTTCAAATGCAATGTCTGTAGCAAATGTTTTACATGCTCATCTAATCTCATTAGACACCAAAAAGTACATAGCGGAGAGAAACCGTATGAATGTGATGTATGCCAAAAAACATTCACTCAGAAGATATCACTCAAAATACATCAGCGTATTCACACTGGGGAGAAGCCCTTCAAATGCCAAGATTGTCCTAAAAGCTTTACTTGTTCTTCAAATTTCACTAAACACCGGAGGTTGCATAGTGGAGAAAAACCCTATGTGTGTAGCGTTTGTCAGAAATGTTTTACTCAAAAGATTTCGCTCAAAATACACGAGCGCACTCATACTGACGAGAAACCCTATAAATGTGAAGTTTGTTTAAAATGTTTCACATCGTCGTCCAATCTTATTAATCATCGGAAAGTTCACAGCGGAGAAAAACCATATAAATGCAATGTATGTTTTAAATCATTTGCCCAAAACATGCATCTCAAGGTGCACAAACGCATGCATACTGATGAAAAGCCGTATAAATGCAATATTTGTGAGAAGTCTTTTGCCCACAACTCAAATTTAAAAGTACACGAGCGTATTCATACTGAAGAGAAATGCTATAAGTGTCAAGTTTGTGTTAAAAGTTTCACTTGCTTGTCAAATCTCATTAGACATCGTCAGGTACACAGCGGAGAAAAACCATATAAGTGCACAGTGTGTGAAAAAACATTTGCCCAAAACATGCATCTCAAGGTTCACCTTCGCATTCATACTGGTGAAAAACCTTATAAGTGCAGCATATGCGAAAAACCGTTTGCGTCAAATTCAAATTTAAAGGTGCACGAACGGGCGCACACCAATGAAAAATCATATAAGTGTGATGTGTGTAGTAAGCGTTTTACTTGCTCTACCAATCTTATTAGACACCGGAAAATACACAGTGGTGAAAAACCTTATAGTTGCTCTATATGTCAAAAAGCATTTACATATAGCGCTTATCTTAAAGTACATGAGCGCACTCATGCTGGAGAGAAATCATAAATTGTAGACCACCTTTGCTTCCTAAAAACATATTAAACCATATGAAAGCATGCACTTTTTACAAAAAAAAAAAATTGTGATTCACTAGCTCTTAATCTCGCTTTACCAGCAAGTGCGCCGTGAAAAGTTTAGTATTGATAAATTATTGCTTGCACAAGAAATTATTCGATCAAAATATTCACATTAATTCATATTTTATTTCATTATTATAACTTTTTTGTATTGAGTGTGTTTAATGTAATATTATTTGTCCAAGTCGTCCAGCTGCAAAAGTTACGAGTTTTTTTATGTACCTTTTATAAAATTAATGGAAAAAATACTCTAGTTGTCTAGCCATAGACACGCATTTTTATAAAATTTTATCAATGAATAAAATAATCAATAATCATCAAATAATAAGTACTACGTTTTTAAACATTTTCTGTATATACCAGCTCGAAGACCTATTAGTAATAGATTTACTAGAGCAAGATATTAATTTCAGTAAACAAATAATTGTATTACCTTTAGCATCTGGCCGATTCATTTTTTTACTTTACAAATTTGAAATTTTGTAATTATTTTAATTTTAATTTTGTCTGCCATTATTCGATTTTAAGAGGACAAAAAAATAATGACATTATTTTTGATAGTATGTATTTTTATGTTCATGGAATTAACCAATTTGTAATCGACCGTCAAACGGCAAGTATATTATTTTTCCTTTCCTGTACTCTACACAGCATCAACTTTAATTGATAGCAAACGTCAAACATAATATTAAATTAAAATGTATTATAATATAATCAACACGAAATTGTATGTAAAGACATTAAATAATCGTGTCACAATAAATTAATAAATACATATGCACAAGTTATATAATTATATTGTCAAATCATGTATGAAAGTTTATTCAACAGTACTGTATTTTTTTTAATTAAATAGCATTTTTAATATAAAATATATCTTCAAGAGTATTTTTTCAAGAAAAAGTTCTGAATAATTAATGGTCAAAGAACTATAGTACAGGGTGGGGCGTGGTTACTTCCTTATTTTAAAAAATCGTAACACAAAAAGTATTGGAAATATCGATTTAATTTTTTTTCCATTGTCCAGGGGTACATTTAAAGTTTTATTTCATTGGGTTTTAAAAACGACATCTCGAAGGTGGCCACCGTCCTCGTCAATGCACTGAGATGGCCGAAATCTCTTTAGCCGCCGAATGTTTGCGTGCAGATCGCCTTGGGGATTTCAAAAGCGCCGCCCTTACCCTCCCGATGTTTTCTGGCGTCCTGACGGTTCTGGAAGGTCCATCACATTTCTTTTTCACAACTAACAGTATCCCTAAACGTGTCCTCCCATAAACAAATCGATTTCCGATCAGGCACACGACCTACAGGCGCGATGTTGAAATGCTTTCTGAAGTTGAGTTGTGATGACCGAACGGCCGAAGGAAAAGTAGGCCTCCACGGCGAACGCGCGCTCCTCCTTTGTCCACTGCATTGTTGACATTGAACTAATCATAAAAAATACTTTAGATACCGAGCTTTCGAACACGCCATATACCAACACTCTAGGAGTAACGGTCACTTTGTGGCGCGAGTTTCAAATAAGGAAGTAACCGCGCCCCACCCTGTATTTAATATGATAAAAATTAAACTGTATAATATATAATGTTACTGAAAAGGGCTGTCAAGTGTCGTTAATTTTCGACCAATTATAAAAGAGAAAATGCCCTTGAGACTGGATATCTAAATTATTTAAATTAAAAATAATAACTAAGTGCTAAAAGTGTTAATAATTATGTTTTTTTATTCGTTGACCTCTTCCGAAAAGGTTTTTTGGAGTATGGCTGTATGCACATTATTTGTAAATTGTATATACCAGTTATCGACATGTTTCGATTGTTTATTTGAGTGGTGTGTCCACCGAGAAACCTTATTTTTAATTGTTGTTAATTAATATTTTAATGTTCCAATCCGTAATTTGTAGTTTGATAACATGATTTGTGCGAATGAATACACTTTAAAGTCGGTGATAGTAATAAATTCACCAAATTTTAACAGAAAAATAGAGGCAAATATCATCTATGTTTATGGGTGGCAATTTTTCGATGGGTCGAATAATTTTTTACCTGAATGAATTTTTAAAGTTAACATTATTTAGTATTTATTAAATAATTTAAAAACACCTGAGCACAGATAAGTTCTCCTCATTTTACCTACTGTGACATTAGGTGATACTGCAACAATATTCCAAGACACTATAGTTTTGATTTGCGCAAACCTGTCATTTTGTCATTTTAGAAACGACTATGACAGTCTGATAAAAAAAAAATAACAACCTATAAAAAATCCACATTACTATATTATAAAGTATACACTATAGTTTATGTTAAAAATTGACTGTACTTCACGCCTTAATAAATGTGTGGGTATTGTATATTGTGGTTAGGTTGCTTAATGTCCTTTCTTAGTGATATTTTTTTCCGCATTAACATGGTGCGATGAAAGCGTAGGTATTATAACGACATCCAAAACAATCCGGATTACCTCTTAACAAGTTTTGACAAAGGAGCGTGGGAATAACTACGGCCTACTCAGGTTAAACCCCTAATTTTAAATCGTAAACACGTGTTTAGCGAGATAGCGTTTTACTTGTTCTAAAATGGGTTTTGAATAAAAATAATTAGGAAATCGAAAGAGGGTGATAATATACTTTTTTTTTTTTTAACTTGTCCTAGTAAAAGTAAATTGAAGAATGCCTTTTAACGTTGATTACTAAAAAAACGTTAACGGATCACGGATGACATTCCCTCAACAATGGTCATTACATTATTAAATTACATATTAAGGGAATTGCATGCGGTCTGTTATTTTAGTTGAAACACATCATTTTTTATTCCATTTCACAGACCGAACCAGTGATCCGATAAGCAATCTAAAAACAGATTTGAATTCGCCATAAAGTTTACTTATGATCGGTCATGGTACTTTTTTCAATTTTTAATTTTAACCCTTTCCAAATTTGATTTGAAAATTTGAAATTTGATATAATTTTCAAAACGTGTTTTATACATAGCAGGAATAAGATATCAAAAAAGTACCCTGACCGATCATAAGTAAACTTCATGACGAATTCAAATCTGTTTTCAGATTACTTATCGGGTCACTGGTTCAGCCTGTGTGGTGGAACAAAAAATGTATGCTATATTAACTAAAATGTTTTTTACTCATAGACAAAATAATTTAAATTAAAAATAATACCACGAAGCTTATACAAATTAACCGGTGAATTAATTTACATTAGCAAAATTTATTAAAACTACTTTTTTCTTAAATATTGCCTATACAAAACTCCTTAAAAACCAACCGCATGCAATCCCCTTAAAGGGATTTTGTGTAGGCAATATTAAAAAAAAAGATGTTTTAATAAATTTCGACAATGTTAGTTAATAAACCGGTTAATATTTTGTATAAGCTTCAAGGTATTATTTTTTATTTAAATAATTTTTTGGTAAAAGCTATTTTGGTTTATTTTAGACCAAAATGCCGACTAGGTACATAGAATGATCCAATTTTAATTTTGTAAAGAGATTAGAGGTCTTTGGATACTGTAACTCTTAAACTTAAATGTAACTGTAACTTAAATGTAAACTCTCATGTATCGTAGAGCTGTCCAATTACAATAATTTATTTTTTGTTGGAAAGAGGAAGTTTTTCTACACGGTGCATTGGACTTAGATTTTCAAAATTATATTTCTCTATAATATAAGTTTAAATAATATGTCCAATTTGTGCTCAAGTTTTACACTTATTTTTTTTCTTGGTTTTCAGTAAAGTAATCGAAGTCCAATAAATAAATTACACTAAATAAATAATAAATAGTCTTAATAGTAATTAAAATGTAATAATAATAAGAACACCGGTCAAATAATTAATATTATTTAGGTATAAATTGTAGATATAAATAAAAAAAAAGTCCTAGTATCAATAATAAGTCGAAGTATAGTTCTAGTATAATATACGTCTATATGTCTTAGTATATAATTTTGGGTCGTACCATTTCTGTCAATAAATGGTTTCCATTAAGCGCTCTCAACTGTCATCTCGTTAATTTTATCTAAAAAAATAACACAAGTTTTAATTTTATGCAAGAACGACATGTCATGTATTTCACGCCAAATTGTTATTTTATAAACAATGCACAATCATTATAATTTATTTTTGTATCCAATGATAATATACTGATTTGGTAACTTTAGTATAATAAGGATGTTTCAGCTAAATCATATATTTAACAGAAATATACACTGGGCTATTAAATTCTGAAGACAATAAATATGTGGTGGCGTTTGTTTTTTTAACCACATAAATTTTCTTATATTGCTTAGATTTGTTTAATGAAAAAAGTTTAACCACATTTTTTACAAAAATAACTATGTATTTAACGATTAGGTTACCTTACCTTATCATTAACAACGTTGATGAAGATGATGATAATGACAACGATGTGAATCTGAGATTTGATTTATTTCCCGAGTAACAATTTCAGTGCCCTATAACCTTTTGCCCAATTTTTTTTTACTATTGTATATCGTTCTATATCTTATTGTGTATTATTTCTTTTATTTTTTTTTTTCAATAAATTATTTATATTATAACTATTTTGCTTGCATAATTTAATATGTATTTGAGTTTTTATTTAGTTGTCAATCTGAAAATAATTATCTCAGCCGTTGTCTAGGTACCCTCGATCAACAAGATGTTTTGCGCTTTTGCCGTTTTGAGATGGTCCTACTTGAATATCACTGCTTAACTATTTATGAGTTTCGCCGTGTAAGTACGCATTTACTACCATTGTGCACTCTACGCAGTTGTCTAAACGCTATAGTCAAATTTTGCCTGAAAAAAAAATGGGTCTTTCCCCTTTGGATGTACTGAGGATGGATAAGGAAATAGTCAGGAAATGGTCTTCGATAAACCACCACCAGCTTCTCTTTTGTATAGGTACGTGGCACCTCTAGATTGAGACAATGGTCTTAAATTGGAAGAGTTTTTTCAATCCTTCATGGAAGAGCCACCAAAAATGTTCGAGCTGTAGAGCCGTAGTACTTTACATGAATTTTTAATTTTCTATTTGATTAACCCATTTTAATAATTAATTTAAACAACTTGAAAAATAATCAAAATTTTTACAATTTAAAAATAAAAGATTAAAGCTGAAATATGATATTTGAAAGTCCTTCTTGTGCTATATGTTAATAACATTTTTTTTTAGCGAATTTTCAAATTATGAGTTTTAATGAGCTCTAACGTGAAAAAAAGAATATGTATCCCGAAATATCAAAAGAGTGATTTTTTAGGGTAATATTTCTTTTTTAAAACTGTAAAAATTGTAATTAGTTTTCAAATAGAATTTTTTAAATGAAAAATTCAAATTTCCCTTGTTAATCATATGCAAGTAAAAATTAATGCAAAAAGCACTTAGAGTTAAGCTAAGGATCTGAATTTTTTCTTATTTTGAACAAACTAATTTTTAGACAAAGTCGAATTATATAATACAGGGTAATTTTTTTATCATGAACCACTCAATATCTCATAGGGTTTAATAAGAAATTAAAATTTTTTTTGTTTTTACCCCTCTCCCAACTTAATTTTTTTTTTGATAGCAACTTTTAAAACTTAAATGATAACGTATATATTTTAAAGGACAAAAGGTTAAAATTCAAATTTTAAAAGTTGCTATCAAAAAAAAAATTAAGTTGGGAGGGGGGTAAAAACAAAAAAAATTGTAAACAATTGAGATCATATTGTATAAAAACAGTATGAAAATTTTTTTTTTATTTCTTATTAAACTCTATGAGATATTGAGTGGTTCATGATAAAATAATCACTCTGTATATATTTTACAAAATTGTGTTTTGAATAAAATTTCTTTTTTAAAACCGCAAATGCATTAATTTAAATTTACTTCAATAATTGATTATTTGGATTACATTTTATTTGAAATTTAACACACAAATTTTTCCATAAAAAAAAACACCTCTAAAGGAAAACGAGATTATGAGGGGAAAATTTGCTAGATAATAAACTAGTGTTAAATGTTAAATTGTTATTCAATATTCGTGTTCTAAAAAAATGAGGTTAAATTAAAATGGATGAGGTTAATGACCTCATTAATTTAAATTTAAATACCTGGAAAAAGCAGAGCTTAAGAACCCTCAAATTTGTTATTGAAATTGCGCCTATGACTATAACATGACTCTATTATATGTTACTAGGTATACAATTTACATCGTAGGCTAGGTAATTTTACATAATAGACCTAATGAAATTAATTTTACTAATTTTTTTAGTATAATAGTTAATAATAATTATAAAATAATATGTAAATGCGAAAAATGTCCTAATTCGATACTCATTACAATACCTACAAACTCATCTTACTATTGTTTACTTGTATTCTTTGATAAAGATGATTATTATGTGGGTACCTATCTATAATTTATGATATTAATAGTTATTGTCAAATTAACAGAAATAACGATTATTTTGCGTTTATTTATTTATGCTAAACGTTTATTTTTCAGTGTTTTTTCTAATAAAATAAACATACGAATAATATAATATGTGTATAATTATGTTTATATTATTCAATTTTATATAGCCCATATAGGTAAACAACAAAAACATAATTGATATTAAAAAATGTTGAGAAAATACTTAAATCATTTTTAAAGATCACTTTTTTTACTGTATTATACTATTTTAAAATATTTTCTAAAATATTAAAAAATAATTAGTTTTAATTTAAAAATGTTTTTAATTGTTCACGAGTCCACTGAACTTAGTAACTACTTCGTTCATAATTGTAAAACGTACCTTTTGTTCATCTGTGTATTGAAGACACAATTTTACATGTAAGTGGAAATCCATTTTAATTTTAGGATCTTTGTTCTAGGATTTTAGTTTGTATAAGTTGTAACTAATGTTGAAAATTGGATACCCATTTCTGATGTTAAAAATTGATGTTCCTAATAAGTAATAATCCAAAACTACAATTAAACTATAGCGATTTTAATATATCGTGATCTATAAATATTATTATATGATTATGTGCCGTATTAAAAAAATGGTCGTGCTTGAGCAATGACCAGTTATTAAATAGTGAACTTGGTAATTAGTTCGCGTAATTCCAATGCGCATGCTATGCACATTACACAATTATCATAAAAAGAACGCAACAATTGAATTCAATTAAAAAAAAAAGAGGTACTTAAAAATCCAATGGAAAATAAATTTGAAACTAACATTCAATTTTCAAAAAACATTTTTAAATATATTATTTACATTTTTTTTGTTGCAATAAGTAGTATCTTATAAAAATAAACCGTAGGTCAATAAAAATAATTTAATTTAGCGTACTCGATAGTGATGTTAAGCTATATATTATGTAAATAATTATATTTTAATGGCCAACGTGCAAATATGTTTAAAACTATTTCGTTATAAGTTATGTATCAATAACACTCGTACTTTGTAAAATACCACAAATAGATAAGTTGAAACTAACCGAAGTACCTTTACTGTTCCTGCTTATATAATAATATATTTGTACACATAAAAATAATTTTCTTACTTTGGTGATAAAAACAGCAATGTACGCAACGCGAGTATTATAATATCACTACACGTAACTCGTCTTCAATTTATATAAGTCATCAAAAAAAAAAAAAAAAGCTTAAAACGGAAACGCGTTATTCTAGAGCACTGTCACGCCCCTGGAAAACATATCTTGGCTACCGGGTGCACAATTTGATGTGTTGTATGTTATTAATGGCCTTGCTCTGTTTCGCAAGCCCGTGGTGTTTGTAACCATCGATCTGGTATCATTTTGCCTTCCCCACAGACTGGAGTTGAACAGTTGATAAAGCTCATTGCGGATGTTGGAATTCATCCACCCGTATATGATAGGATTGGAAACGGCTGAAGTCATAGCTGTCAAATGGCAGATGGCCAGTATCACGTAAAGCTGTTTGGTCGACATCGGTGTGGTTATCAAGTCGGCAGCCAAAGAAAATACGGCTAAGGGAAGCCAACTCACTGTGAAGACGACGGCCACACCTGAAACAAAATATGTATCATATGTATGATAAGTGTATACTTAAAATAGAAAACAGAGTGGAAATGTTGTAAGTATTTTTTTTCAAAACAACATTATTTTCATACAACACTCTTATTTTGAACACAAATTAATGCCCGAAAGTTAAGGCCCCTGGATACCGACCGTTTTTATCAGCCAAAACACATCTTTTTTTGTCCATCGCACACGTCTATCAGGCTAAAATGGCTTTCACTCACAGACAAAATGATTTAAATTAAAAATAATACCATGATGCTTTTAGAAAATTAACCGGTTAATTAATTGGCATGGTCGAAATGTATTAAAACCACTTTTTTCTTAAATATTGCCTATACAAAACTTCTTAAAAAAATGGTCGGTATCCAGGGGCCTTAACATAAAAGTATAAATATTTCTTAACAACGTACAATACAACAAAGGTGTTTAAAATGTATGACGTTAAACTTTTTTTCCCTTCAAAAGAAAAACAAATAGTAAAACGGGTATGAATGATTTTAGCATACATAAGCATTTAGAGGTGCAGGTGGGTGGCGGAGTGGGATAAGGCGGCAGTGTATCCGGGCGGACAACTGCTGGGGAGAAAAATGGCCACTTGCACCTTTTTCTGGGGCCAACTTGTTTGGTAACGTTAGATCGGTAGTCAGCTATATACCCAAAAATGCCAAATCTAAACGGTCAAAGGCCCGATCGGCAAGAATAACGGACGTTAAACGTAAGCGAGAGGGATTTAGAGGTAGACGTTGACTGAAGAAAAAGTTGTAAGGTCAGCAAGTATGCACTATAGTTACAAATGTATAGAAATGACGATAATAGTAGAGAGAGCATTTGACTGGCTGATCACATTTTCATTGGATCAGGCTCAGTGCTAAAAAAAATATTGGAGGTAATGAATAAATCAGGCAAATTATTAAAATATTAAATGGGACAAAAGAGATATTGCTCAGGGAGGCAAGACGACTTCAGTGATAAAAAGAAGGGGCAAGGAACAAGGAAATAGACGAAGTCCTTAAACTGAGTTAACCTCAAACCTAAAGCGAGAAAAGTATGCGATTTTTGTACGATTTAGATAAAAAAAACCCAGGAAAAAATTAAAGTGAGAGGCCGTTAAGCAAAGCATAAAGTATATTAATGGAAATAAAGTATAAAATAATGAGTAAAGGATTGTATAATATAATACTTATGCGAAGATGGAGAAGATCTCTAAATGGAATAAGAAAAGTGTAATAACTCAGAAAAAGTAAAATAACTGATTGGGGAGTAGGCTAAATCATTTTGCGCAGAAAATTATTTTTGGAAAAAGGGGACTTAATGTATTAGAGGCGATATCCGAGAAACAAATGGATTGGACATTCGAGCTAGAAGACAAAATTGAGAGTAACAGTGCAGATAAAAATATTTTCATTATTAAATGTGATGATAAAGTGAAGAACATAAATTATGTTAGTGCATTCTGCTGTAAACGATAAAGTTTTTACTTATACATATTACCGAAAATGATGACAATTTCTGGAAAACGATAACAATTCCTGGAAACTAGAATTCAACTAGAAATGAACTAGAATGAACTAGAATTCATTGGTTTTATAGACTTCAGTCAACATTTCCAGAGTATAGGTATTTATTAATCAACTTTTATATGTCACAATTTAAATCCATACGATACGTTAGAAGGTGACTTATACGAAATAATATGTCATCAAAATTTGACGTTATTCAGAGAAAAATATTTAAAAAATCTGTTTAGCTAAAAAAACGTAATATTCATTTATCCGTGAATTAGTTGACATATTTATAATACTCCTAAATCAATTTATTTCATATGTTTCCTTTATTTTACCCCTTAATAAATAATTACATTTCAAAGTTCTTAAGGATTAGTTCCTAATATTATTATAGTTTCAGATCACAGATCCGAATTTCAAGACCGAACGTAGAACGAGAAATTTCGTACAGCTTTTGCAAAAATACATTCTTAAAATATTTTGAAGTATTTTGAAAATTAGTGTCAAATAAGAGGTTAGATGAAAATGTAACGCCTAAATTTATTACATTGTTGATTATCGATAACCGGCAACAATCAATGTAAACAGCAATAAAAAGCAATTGAGTTTCTCTACTAAAAAAATTATATTTGCTTACACTTATTTGTATATAAGAACATGCCTTAAAATCAATCCTTAGAGAATCCACACTGCCGTGCAAAACGTTTAAGAGTATGTTGTGGGCCTGTACACATCAGTGGGCACAAAAACACATATAAATGACAAACGTTTCCTAACCAAGTCCAGGGTTAAAGTCAGTTATGTTAGAGAAACACTAATCACTGAACCTGTTGATGTGGAATCTTTATACAACCACCAGTAATTGATAATAAGATTTTGAGGCCATCAGCAAATAATAAAAATTGATAAAAAAAAACAGTTAAAAATAACCTAACATCGTTGAAGAATATTTAAAACATTAGAATCAATAAACTTGAAGTACAACCATGGGTGGTGACACTTGGTTAAATCGATCTGAATTCTGTCGAAAAACTGACACCCCATTGAAACAAAATCCACCATCTCCAAATGTTCATATCGTCGAGATAAAGAATGACGTCCTGCTTAAGGATCCATTAATAATATCAATATCTTAAAAATAGAAATATATCTAACCCATAAACACAGTATTTAAAAATACCCGGAATAGAGTGTTCCCTATTGGTTTCAACTTTTAACCCGTCAAACATATTAAACTCAGCATAAATTGGGAATTCAAATAATATTTTTAAAAAATTTAACGTTCTCGTAGATTAAGTACTTAGAGAAGAGACGGAATTAACAGATGAAAAAAAAATCGCCAAATAAATAATTAGCAACTGTAACCGAATCATTAGCAACAAATGACACTGTTATTTCACTTTACGTTAAGCCGCATCTCGATAAGAATACAAATAATCGTAATTTAAGTTCGGTAAATCGTGACTAAGTAAATATAATTTTGTTCTGCCGCCTTTTTCAAAAAAAGGTTTTTCAGCGTTGTGTTAACACGAGTGGAGAACACCGCCTATTGTTAAATGTAAATCCTAATCTAATATTGGTCTATTCGAATGTTAGCTAGTTGCTAACAGTACCTATTAGTAGTAGAGTAGTGCGCTTGTTTCTCTGTAGTTCCCGCTGGGCACGTCTTGGGTCTTTTTGAGAAGTTGTGTGTGCATGTAAGTACGTGGCGATACGAATGTGTACGACCAGTAGAACAGTAGCCGGAAGTACTGCTTGTATGAGCACAACTGCTATGTTGTAAGCTACTTTGATGTCAGTCGAGGGCCATTTCTCACGGCAAGATTCGTACAGGACAACTTGATGGAATGTCACTGGCTCGACTACCTGTTTATTTTAAAGAAAACGCAAATTTAATCAAATATGCAACCAAAAATAAAATAAAAACAACCATAAGAATTTTGTATAAGTAGTAAGTATTATTAATGTAGAATTGCTTAATGTACCCAGTATCTATATAACATAACATGTTGAGAAAAATGTACAGATTTTTTATCGAAATTCAAAGCGAAGACGATATGATGCGAGCAAAATTTATAAAAAATAGTCGAGTGGTTTAAAATGCCAATCATTTTTTTAAAGTTTTTAAGTTATAAATTGGTTTGTTTGAATATACAATCAGATTAAATGTAAAACGTTTAAAAGTCGCCGAATAATAAACATTGAACGTGCATAATGGAGTTTCTGGATTTTTTAATATTCCTACTTTAAGAAATCGTAGAAAATATTTAAATTTCGTTTTTATTTTTAAATTATTAAACAATTGATTGCCATCAAATATTAGAAAAACTAAATTTTAAAGTTAAGTCTAACTCTACGAGAAACAATAATTTATTTACTTAAAAAAATATACGTACTAATTATAATTTATCCTCAGTGATAAATATTTTAATGTCTACTGCAAATTTAGTAAAATTAGATTTATTTTCTTGTTGTATAAGTGACATTAGGTCAACATTTAGTGTGTAGTTGTAAAAATGTTTTTTTGTTAGTTTGTAAGTTTTTCTTATACTGTTTTTTTTTTGTCTATACTGTAATATTATATATTGTAAATGGAATTAATTCCATAAATAAATAAATAAAAAATAATAAAAAAAATAACTATGAGCTTTTTAGCTTTGATGCGAACCCGAGAGGGTAATGTTTCAAATATACATGTTTAATGTTTGGTTAACCCAAAAGCAAAATAATATTAATTTTTCAACAAAAAAAAAAAAATGTATGTAACTTATGTAAAATGTTTGTGTCCGTACGCCATTTATTTTACTGCAAAAATTACATTTGTTTGTAATATTGTACAATTTGCGTTATTGTTTTAGATGTTTGTAAATGCTTTGTAATTGTTTTATGTAGTTTCAGCTGTTAGGGCGGTAATAGGATTGTTTACATACAGATACTAATGCATTTAAGTATAGATTTACCTGATAATAAGCCACCGGCGAAGCGGTAATGACTGCAAACAGCCAAACGAGGACGATCGACGTATACACTGACCGTCGTTCGTTTTGAGCGGATCCACGTACGATTACCCAATACCTGTCAATGGCGATTACCGTGATTGTACCCACTGAGACCATGATGTTAGTTCCTTGTAATAAAGGTACCAGCTTGCATAAAGCAGTCCCCATGGTCCATTGGTATTTTAATATAGACGTTAAAGTTAATGGCATGCAAACTAAACATAGGGTCATGTCAGAGATGGCCAAGTTCACTATGTACATATTTCTAGACGTGTGCATCTGAACGCGTCTAGCTACCACATAAATCACAGTCAAATTGGCTGACAGTCCAACAGTGATTAGGCCCAAGTAAACTGCAATGAGAATTGTCTATAAAAAACAAAACAGAAGCATGTTAGTTGTCTATGTAGATTAGTGGCGTAGAAATTCGCACGAGGAGGGGGTTCTAAAAAAAGTTACATAGAAACTTCCAAAAAAGGAAAGCCAAAGGAGTTCAAACTCTCAAAACCCCACACCTACGTCACTGAAAGAAATAGATCTAAACATATACATAGGTGTACATAGTTGATATAAAGTCATTATTTTTGAAAGTTTATTTCACATAATGATTTAGTATTTACCTCAGTGGTTTTATCCAAATTTCGAGCATCTCTTCTATGCTCTAATAAAATAGAATAAACTTCTTCTAAACTAAAGTTGAATGTAGAGTTCATATCTGTATCATTACACGTTTCCATAAATGTACTCATTGTTTCGTCTAATGAGCAAACCATTAAGGGCTAAGGCATCGTCAACCAAAAGTTGTTGATTCTGGAATGAATAAAAATACAATTGTTGTATCTTTTGTTAAAATTAGTTTAACAATAAAACATAACGTAATAAAGATGTTTTAAAGATAATTAGCGTAGTATAATAATACAAATCTATAAATGTATATATATAATAAACACACGTGGTTTTACTATTTTAATTTTTTTAATATTATATAATATTTTATATTAAGTCCTATTAAAAAAATCCAAGTGTTTGTTTTCAATGTGAACGAGGTAGTCTCTGTATTATTTGTACTACGTTGTAGTCAAACTCTACAATTATATTCAAATACAATTGAGGTAAATTGAGTTAAAATATTTTTTTGTACTAATATACTATTTTTAGCTAAAATAGTGGGAAATCGCAATTTGGAATGCCTTCAGAACTTTATTACCAAAATCCTGCAAAAAATGTATTGTTAGCCAAATTTTATAATTTATTCTGAGTAGAATTACAGAGTTATACTTCCAGTAAAACAAGTTTATATAATAGCCACTAGGTAATAAACATATCAATATCGTCGCATAAATATATATATCACAATCTTAAATAAAACAGCTAAAATAAGCACAAAAAAATATATATATATGATGTAATGTATTTAAATTATTAGTAAACATAATTTTATCTTAATACAATAAAATATCAATTCTTTATTATCAACCGGTAGTAGCTACATACTTAATCGAGTGAAGTGCTAGTAAAGGTGTGAGAGATCTCGATTATATTGTTTGTTAGCTTTAAAAAAAAAAATTAATTATAATACCTTCAAAATTAAATATTAATTAAATTTTCATGCCGTTACATCACATGACATTTTTTTGTTTAAAATTTATGTAAAAAAAACTATAGGAATTAAATTAATTTTACAATAAATTAATAGAAGTACTAATGAAAAAAAATCGTTAGAAATGCTCGTAAATTCTGCTTTAAATCGTTTTACGTACCACTCAATTAGATATATCCTTAAGTGTTTTAAATGATTAGTTACCAACTTCATGTTACCAGTATTTTATAAATAATGACTGTATTTAGTAGAATTCCCAAATATAGCATTATATTTAACCATAAAATGTGTAAAATAAACAAATATTTAGTTTTTAACATAGTCGTATTGATATTCCTTTATTTTTTATCAATTTAAATATGTAATATTAAGTATGGAAGTAAATCGCTTTGTATGAATTCGATTTATATAAAATGTTAAAAGATAAATATGAGTTGTATTCAAAATATATTTTATCAGAAACTTAATTAGATTACATTTTTCGAATATAATATATTTTTCATGGTCAAATTGACAATGCATTCAAATTAATTAGTTGTTAATTTTAGAGAACCGCTGGTTGTCAAAATAGAGATTTTTATAGTAATTTTTTCAAGTTGTAACATTTTTTTATTAATATAAATTGGTAAAAATTATTTAAATATAAATAAGGCAATTTAGAAAGAAAATCAAATATTTTCAAAAGTATTACCTTTAATTTGGAGTCAACGTTAGCATGATTTATAAAACCAATTAATATGGAACTAACAAATAAGTTTTTTTTCAATTTGTCTATTATGATTTATGAAGTATCTAAAAAAAAAAAAATGAAAACAGGTATTGCATAAACCGATAATGGATATTGGTATAATGTGATATTATTTTAATTTTAACATAGGTCACAGTACTGTTTAAAGGTTATGTATATTCATAATATTTCACTGTCTATATATTTAGTAAATCCAGCAGTAAATTATTCAAATACGAAAAAGCATTTCGAATAAAAAATAATTATTTGACGGGTCTTTATAAATAAAAACGATAAATTTTCATAAAAATAAATGAATTTACATTTTATTTGACAGGGTTAAAATTAAATTACTTTCCCCTCATGACGGTGTGAACAATAATAAACAGGAACGTGACTGAATGTGTTACGGTTCGTTTTTTACATGACCCTTAAACAACAAGTTCAGTGCCAATATTTTATTGTATGCTACGAAAAAATATTTTTTTAATGGTAATATAGATATTGAATTAAACGAATTTATTATTCTAAAAATAGCTAAGCATAAGATATGTTAATAAAATACATAATAATTAAAGCAGTAACGACGAAAATGAAATAGATAACTAAATTATATTGTAACAGTAATGATTTTATTAAAACAGTAGTGGCTACCCTAAAAATATTAGGTTTTGCTCAATTAACATACATAAATATACTACCTCCTCCACCTACCACTTACAATCTTAGTCCATACTTAGTTTTACTTTCGATTTAAATTTTTGATTTACCTAATTCATAAACGCAAAATATGTTTTTTGCTTATTTTATTTTACTTTTTGCTTTTTTTATATAATCTTCATGGTCAAAACTAATTTAATTTGAAATTCATAAATCAAAACTACGCAAAAGCTATTGAATTTTATAATTAAAATTTAAATGCATTTACCACATGAAAATGTATTAGTCGCAAAGCATTATAGTCGCATTAAAAAATATATTTTTTTTTATCTAATCGTTATTTATTATGTTTAAATGAGAGTATGCTAGGCTTATAATTAATTAATACTTGAATAATAATACAAAAACTCATAAATTATTTTCTTACTCTAATAAGAGGGATTTGCATAGATTTAAAGTACTTGAAGATAGATAAAATTCCAATTTCCAATGTTGATTAATGAATGCGAATGCATGTCCACGAATTAATGTTAACACCTAAAAAATTACGTACACACGCATAATAAAATAATTTGTGTAAATAATATAGATTTTATGTTCTAAAATGTGAAACTCAATTTATATCTTTAATATCTGCGGGATGATTTAATAACAAAAATATTTTTGGCAAAAACAAAATATGATATTATGTCAATAAAGGATGACTATGTTATAATTTTGTTACACGTTGTTTCGGTTAGTAATTATTGTACTTTTGCGTTCATGCTTAACAGATATAGATAATTAATATTTTTTTTTTGTAGCTCAATTGCATTAATTAAAATTACATAAAAATATATGGGAAATAATAATTGTATTCCAATTGGGGTTAAACGACGTTAATCATTTTTAAAGGAAGTTACTGAATAAAATATTTTTTTATTAAGACTGGGTTTTTTTTTTATTGTATGTGATGCAGTGAATTATTGACATAAGTAAGTCTCTAGGCTGGGGACTTTTAAAAATTTGCGTCAAGTTGCGTTTTGTGTCCGATTGAATTACTAATGGCTTTATACGTACAACCAAGCCGTTGCTATGTTAACAAAGGTATCAAAAGACATGTTCATGACCCAATGTCTTTCCTACAAGAGAAATAATCTACATTATTATTTATATTTACATCCAATCGCTATAGAATAGCCAATGACGTGTTTTCTCTATTTTTTTTTTTTTTTAGACGATTTTCTTCAGTTTTCTATATAATATAACTATATTGTTTGGTTTTGTTCAATGATGTTGTAAACGTTTGGTAAGTTTTGTCTCAAATCTGCAATGACTCGAATAAAAAAACAGGGCAAATAACAGTTAATAACGGCAATATGCCGTTTGGAAGGCTATTCTGAAACACTCACAAGTTGGTAAGCGAATAGTTATTTTATACTTATGACACTTGGTCTTATTATTATTCATTAATGCATTCGTCCTGTATATTCCATAAATACATTTACTAAATAGAATTTACCACCCCACAGCCTCTATTCTAATTCCTTTATCCCATCCTTTCTAGTAATATTATCCCACTATCATTTCTATTAAAAACTTAAAAATAATGCATATGCGTGGGGTGGGTTTACCTACCAGGACACCCTCATCGCTTGTAATATTAAAAACCTAAATAAATATACACTTTTACTTTCCTTTTGCTAACAAATGTAATTTAAATTCAATTAGATGAAATCACTTTCAAAAAACAATTCGATACAAATTTGTAGATGGTAAAAATATTAAATATTAAACAATGATAATATTTAAGTAGACATTTTTTTTTGTATTTTTTAGAGCTTTATCAACTTTTGAAACTTAAATGATAACGTATATATTTAATTAACTTTTTTAATTAAGAATAATTTGCTAAAAATGTTCACTGGTCGATAGCCAGTTTTGGATTATTACTTTTAAAATAATTAAAGTTTAAAATTTAGAGCGGTAGGAAGGTTGTAGTATTATTTTTATCTGCGTTCATTACTCTGTCGCTCTCCACATCCCACCCTAAACTTCAAACTATAATAGCTTTAAAAGTAATTATCCAAAACTGGTTATCGACCAATCAATTTTTTCGACAAATTATTCTTAATTTAAAAAGTTAGTTAAATAAGTACGTTATCATTTAAGTTTCAAAAGTTGATAAACCCCTAGAAAATACGAATAAAGGTAAATTCTTGTTAATTTTATAATATTATTGTAGATCATGTAATATAAAAATATATTTATACTGGGTAATTTTTGCCTATTTTGAGTATTTCATCGAAATTTCTGCTGTAACATTTGAATAACCCTGTGTGTATATAGAGTTGAAATCGAACGAGCGGTTCATGTTAGGGCAAAAAAAAAAATTAATAATTTTGAAACGAGGACATATAAGCAAAATAGTGTTTTGAGCACAAAACGATGTAGTTTAAATCACCAGGTACTTGTTTTAAAACTACAAAAACTACACCGTGTACTTGAAACAGTATTTAACCATGTCCACGGACATTTTTTTGACAGTTGCAGAGGCACAAAGCTCTTAGATATCAGAAAGCAAACATTGCGGTGCCGACGACGACGATAAGTACCTATAGCTAAGTCGTATTTATCGGTTTACTCGTATGCACACAAGCGTACAAATACTCATGTAAACAGATTATGTTCTGTCGGGGAGACCGCGGGTGAGAGATGTAACGCGTTGGCGGTGGCGGCAATGGAAAAACAGAAAAATATATTCAAATCGATCGTTACGCTTTCGTCAGTGGAGTGATACGGACAAGGAATAAGCTGGTGCCTGCCAATGTTAAACCACCTTTT